GTGGGGGCGCGGGGGGGTCCGGGCACACATTGGCAGCCTTTAAATACTCTTTAAACACCTACAAATACAGCGGTGAAAGACTCTTTAAACGGAGCGGTGGAGGCAGTGGGGGGTCTGGGTGCGGGAGGATCAAGCGGTGAGGGTGGTGGTACAAAGGCAGGTGAGGGCAGTGAGGGGGGTGGGGGTGGTGAGGGCGGTGGGGGCGGTGGGGGCGCGGTGGGTCCGGGCACACATTGCCTTTAAATACTCTTTAGACTTTAGACACCTACAAATACAGCGGTGAAAGACTCTTTAAACAGAGCGGTGGGAGCGGTGTGGGTGCGGACACCTCTGGGATATCACGGGCGCCGCCCGCAGGGGTCGGCGGATTACTACTACTACTACTACTACTACTACTACTACTACTACTACTACTACTACTACTATTACTACTACTACTACTACTACTACGACGACGACTACTACTACCACTAGCCAGAGACACACAGTCAATTTGGTTTTGCATGGATGGTGGCGGTAGGCTGGTGCGGGACTTATTTCTTCGGAAGCCTAGTACGCGCTGCAAGCATATGGCAGGAGATGCTGTAAGCTGAAGCATTCTGATGACATCATGCACCCTTTCCTCCCTGCTGTCCCCACATATGCGCGTGGATTGAGTCCCTTGGAATTTCTTGGAGTGGGGCGGGTACCGCTTACGACTGCTAGCAGTGGTACGGTAGTTGCTGGAGGTGCAGCAGGAGGGAAGTGCGGGCTTAAAGTTCAAAAAGCTACTTACCCTGGATCTCGCTGGCACGCGGCGATATGCTCTGATGACATGGTTATCGCCAGCATGCGCAAAATTTCGAGAAGTCCAGTGTTGACGGTGTGCGTGTCATGTTTGCAGTTGTAGTTTCGATTGCGGAGCCTTCGAGACATTTCGCACACGATGTGTTCGCAGAGGAACAGCGGGATGCAAAATGCGAGGAAGCAGAAGAGCAGCTTGCTTGCAGCAACTGCTCCAGACTTAACTGTGTTAGTAGCGAGGCATTGATCGAGCATCTGCAAACAGGAACCTTCGACTGGCCCAAATCGCTCGGGAGTTGAAGGAGGCGGAGTTGCAGCTGCCAGCGACCGAGAGCTTTGTTCGGAATCTGGAGCTTCGTAAGGCCAAGAAGTTGGAAGACGATGCTTTGAAGCAAAAGCATATCGACACCGCTCGGACCTTGGCCGTCTTAGACCAATAGGAAGGTTTGATGCGTTTCGCGGTTGGCTTCAGTCGACTATCTCAGGTGACAAACTCCGACTGGATCGGGGAGACATACGATGCAAAGATTGGCTTGACTGGCAAGCCCATGAAGGCTGAGTACAAGCGACTGACGCTCGAGGAGGAGCAGGCCTGCGATCGCGAGGGAGCAGAGACTCGAAAAGCGGATCACAATGTGCTGCTGGCCAGGAGATCTACAACTCCAATGCTCGACAACTCATGGACAAGCGAGCAAGGAAAAAGCAGGAAATCCTCGAGAAGGCTACGCCGCCAGTGTACCAGCGGAGTCCTTCTCGGCGAGCCTATCATCTGGGGCCGGAAATGTGCCTGAACGATTCGTTACACACTCGGAGTGTTTGCACAGCTTGCAGTATAGCTATGAACTCATGCCTTGGTTGGGCTGGACGCGGCTGCCCTAGCGTTGTTCTTGAGCTTTGCGTAGGTTTGCCTGCTCTGCCAGGCAGAAGACGCCCAGAAGATTCACTGCAATGTGTTTTGACAGCAGAAGGTTGTGACGATGCGACAGCTTGGCAATTGTGTGAGAAGTGCTGCGAAGAAATGAAAGGTTGCAGTCCTGGGAGCACTCGAGGAAGAGCGGTTCCGACAGCAGCAGGACACTGACTGCCTTTCGTTATGGTGTGGGAACGTGCGCAGCTTTCGTCGAAGGAACGGAGGATGCGCCTAGTTGAAGAGAACAAGAAGATGGCCTTGGCCGTGACCTCACATCAATCCGAACGAGGCGTTACTATGCCCAAAAGTTGGTGATGCCGAGACGTGCTAGGCCAAGAAGGAGGCCGACCGAGGAGAGCGGATCGAGTACTTCAAGTACGACCCGTGAGTGTGTTTACAAGCGGCATTTCACCGCATCGCCGCATCTCGTTTCACGCAGCATGAACGAGAGATGGGATGCCCTCGCAAATGCGAGGGCCGAACTGCGGGGCAATGCGCCAACAAGCTTCGTCATGCGAGGGTTCGGGCATGCTGTGCTGATTTACCCGCCGATCCGGATCTCTGCCCTGGTGCATGAGGCACGTCATTCACATTTCCGCTGGTCTTTCTCAGCCTCCTCCTCTGTGGATTAAATCGAGCAAGATGCCAGATGTCCCATCAAATTCAGCACATATCCGCCAGTCACTTCTGCATCGCACAATGCAAGCAGAGTTCAGGCTTTGTATGCCTGTTGGTTGTTGCTCCGATACTGTGGCCAGAGATGAAAGCTGTTTCTGTATTGTAGCAGAACCTCGAACCAATCAATGCCTACTCGCGAACTCGCACCGTGCCGCGATGCCTGTCAGAGGTGATCCAGACAATCTTCTGGTCCCTCCGCTGCTGTTGTAGTCCGCAAGTCTGATTCACCCTGACGAGAGCCATCTTCCAGACTCCTTCTGTTTGGCTTGATGTGCAGACTTGGCCGTATGACTTCGTGAAAAGTGTAATGGAAGTCCGGACTCGCGGTAGTAGTGGTAGCTGGTAGCAGCTGAGCAGCTGGGCCGGTGCCGGCCAGGTCGGACGTCATCTGGACCTTCCTCTGGATGACCTCGCAGCATCCTTGAGGCCGACGGAGTCGGCCGTGTGTTTTGTAGCTGGGGACCTTCGTTTTTTGGGATCCAGGCAGGCCTCTGCAGATCGCTTCGATTTTGTGCTCATGCCTCAGTGTCACATGAGACTGTGACCGTGATCGTGCAAGGCGAGCTAGGAACAGGCTTGGAGATCAGTGGCAATGACGATGCGAGAGACTAGTGTGACTAGTGGCTCTCGCCATCATCGCGGGAACGTGTTTTGCGACAGCTATTGATGGCAGCTTTCGCTAGTGTTGCTGATGACCGAACGAAGCAACCGACCAAGGTCAATCCCGCTCGCTGCTCAAAACGGACAGGGTGTTGGACACGAATTCAGACCCTCCGCTGGGGCCAAAGCATCCAACATGTTGGAGTCGTAGCTGTGCTTAGCAAGTCAGTTAGTCCTCATCATACCCGAACGGGGTGCGTTCATAGTTGATAGGTTATGGGATGGTCTCGAACTGAGAACTGCTTCCTGGCTGCTTGTTCGAGCGTCAGGTGGAGTCATGCCTGTCGTTGGAGGCTCGAGCTGCTAGTGTGATTGGAGCAGTGTGTTTGCAGCTGACTTACATTGCAGATTGCAGAGTAAGCCCACTTGGCTCGCTGAATCTCGCATTGTTAAGTCTAGCTGCGACTTGCGGCAAGCACGCTCGCCCAGGGCGATAAATGGCGGACAGCTGTCGTGGGCAGAGTCTCCGAGTCCTTGGATCTGGACTGCAGCCCACAGACGGAGGACCCCCGAGCGCGGCGATGCCAAAAAAGCAGTCGAACGAATTTACGTCAGCTGTTCAGTCTCTTAAGTTTAAGACTAAGAAGACTAAGTTTAAGAATTCGAAGCTTGATTGAAGCTCCGCCGGCTGTGCCCAGGAGCTTCGGCTCCAGCTCGAGACGGAACTGCGCTGGGTGCGGGCCCCCCCCCCGTGCGGCCCTGCGGGCCCTGCGGCAGCCCCGGGGCCTGGCCCCCGGCCCCCCGGCTCTGTGCGGCTTTTGCTGTGCCATGCTCTGTGCATTGCCGCCTGGCGACTGCCTTCTCAAGGCTTCGCACAAACCAAGCAGGCAAAGGTATGAGTTTGCACATGTCTTGGCGGTGTTCCAGACATCAGCTCTATCCTTCGAGTGCAGATCGCATGCAAATGTGCTGCAACCAGGCTAGCAAGACACTGTCTGCACAGAATTCGGTAATGATTGGCCTCGGACAGCCGACCAGACAAATGGCCGATGTCTGCCAGCAGCAAGAAGCTCTTCGATGTCTCTGCGGCTCTCAGCGCGTTTGGTGCAGCCTCTCAGGACGCAGAGTGAGGGAGTTTCAGCAAACGCGGTTCGCATAATACCCTGTAAGGCCGTCCGGGCAAGGCTATCAGTCCTGTTGAAGCTTGGTTTCTGAAATCGGGTGCGGCTGCATTCATGTGGCCTTCAGACTATTTGGCGTGGTGGGATTGCTGATGTAAGAAGAGCTTAGTCAGAATCCTGCTATCCTCAGTTGCAGCTGGGGGTGTTGAGAATGACGACTTGCCAAAGTATGGAAGAAAACTGGGGCTGTGATTGGCTGGGTTGTGGCGACAACCTGCATGGCGCTGGCACGGCTTCCGCACCTGGCTACTCTGTCCACATATGTGCATGTTTCAATCATTTATCTTGCCACATTACGAAGATAGAAACATGCCGTGTCTTTTTCCATGGGGCAGCTGGTTCGGCGAGAGTGTCGGTTGCAGTGTGGCTAGATTCAGTAGGTTGCTGCATGTCGCTGATGTCGACGCTTCCACCCAAGCCCAGCACACGTATGAAGCGATTCTTTTGCATTTTCCTGCCCTGGGACGTGCTCCTGTCATGTAGTGCTGGAGGAGATCGTCCCTATACCCTCTGCTCCAGATCAACAAAGGACCGGCCGGGCAACTGAGACTGCTCACCTGCAAAGAAGATGCACCACACCACCCTTCCATGCTGGAGCCAGGATTGAACAGGATGTGGAAGCAGCCGTGCCCGGAGGTTTGCTGCCACCTGCTGCCTGGGTCGGCAAGCCATGCCGACAATCTATCAGTACAGCTATGACTCAGCACACTGCAGCAGGCAGTTCTTCCACGGTGCATTCCAAGCCTCTTGAATATTATACTGGATCTTAAAAAAGGCTTTTGCGCACTCTGCCATTTGCGATTTTCACCCGTTAGGACAGCGCAGTCCGGCTGGGACATTGCAGAGCTGGCTTCAGGCGCAGAAACACCTGGCAGCCAAGTATCCTGCATCTGCATCCATATCCCTGCGTCTTTTATCAGGCCCACACCTGCGCGGAATTGTGGGTGCGCAAGGTTGCTCGTGCAGTAGAGTGGTCGAATCCGGGGATGCCGAGGTGATGGTTGTGTCTCTTGCGTTCTGGTTCGCTGCCAGGACCTTCAAGCTTTTACGTTCAGCATGGCTTCTTTTAGGGTGTAAGTGTAGGCCTCGTGAGGGTCTTTCGGTCTCCACTCGTAAGTGTAATTTCTAAGGCATCGACTGTCAACCATTCGGTGTCACAACACACATGCTTCTGCGTGACGACAATTCTGGCATGACTCTTGGCGGAGATGGGAAGTGAGAGTATGATGTTGAAGCATTTAGAGGACATGGCTGCCGCAGATCTCCATGCTCCCTTTCGTAATGCTGTGTGCGCTGCTCAGACTACACTGGCAAGCTGTGATGGACATGCAATTTTAGAGTTGCCGCCTTACAACCTCCAAGGCACAGCGTCCACGAGTGCCTTGTGGTGCACGCCAGAAGGTGTTGTTGTTTCGCTTGGGCCAGTCCCGCTTTGCATCTTCAGACGACGAATACCGTACAGGCACCCACAAGTTTCAACAAGGCGGCGCAACTCATGAAACCAGCGTGCCTTCACTCACAGGGACATCACTTCAATCGTGGTGGTCCGTGGACGCAAATCTGCACAGCTGACCAGATTTTCGCATTGGGTCACGTTAGACTTTTTTTAGATCGGCGTGCCAGGTGGCTGTTGCGATGGCAAAGCACTTGTTCCGCTTATGGCAGCCTTTTGGATATGTCTACGCATTGACACTGGGCAAGGCACGGTGCGGGGCCTGTGCATGTCATTAACTCCCCGATATTGACATTGAAAGCTGTCGAGAGCAGCATGAGGACGTCGTCGACATTCGACTCCACCATTGCAAGGATGCTTTGCACCATGCGCCGTGCGAATCCCATCGCTGCGTCCAAAAAGTTTACTCCCTTGACAGGAGAAGGAGTCCGCAGATGACATCTCGTCGGAGCTGCCCCAAGAGGGTGAAGTAGAAGGGTGGTTCTGTATTGAAACTTTTGAGTTCGGATCGTTGAAGTGGTGCTGCTGCCGACCGTACTTTTGCACCGGAGGCACCTGCAGGCAGCTGGCTGCCTTGGCTTCGTGGCTTGCTGCACGTGGTGCTTTCACAGAGGGTGCTTCAGCTCTTCAGGAGACTTGCCTTTTTCACAACCAGTTTCACGAAATCTTGTGTCTCCCCGTGCATGCATCTTCTCCTGCAAAGTCTCGCATTGATTGTGGGTACGCACATTTTGGAAAGGGTGGAGGGTCCAAAGAGACATTTATCCGGCTGGTCCTTGCTTGGTCTGCGCGGACTTTGATGTTTCGATTGCCTCTGGTTGATGTTGTCAGGCACTCGTTTGGGTGCGTTGTTGCCTCGCATAGGCGGCAAACGGAGGTCCCATCGTGATCCAAATACTGTCTCACTATTTTAGACTGATGACTGTCACACGGACACCTTTTACACGTTTCCGGCATCATGTGATGGTTGGAGAGAGAGATATTTTTTGTCTGAAGTGCAGCAAGCTCCAGAGGCTGCAGCCCCTGCACACTGCTGGTCTCAGTGGACAAGGCGTTGAAAGCAAGCTGCTCGTGAAGCATACTGCTGCCTGTTACAACCTTCGGACTTAGCCTTCAAGCTTGGAACTTTCTTCTGCTGACGGCCTGACGGCCCTATCGCATACTTTGCCAAGGGACGATGACGATGCATGGAGGGTTGCAGAAGAAATGCAGCCTCGCCCATGCGGCCTCGTAAATAACTTCACGCGCAATTCCTGTGACTGCGCGAGCTTTATGGACATTCGACCAGTTGTAGTCCTGGGCTCACTGTATGTCGTATCGTAGATTCTTGAATGTGTACTGATAGTATGTGATAGGTGCGCTCGTGTCGGCATGTACACGTGTGTGTGTGTGTGTGTGGAAAACCTGTTTGCCAATGTTTTTCAGTCTTTTTTCAGAGTATGCAGTGGGACGTGGCATGAGACCAGGGACCACGTCCAATGAAGCTACTTGATCTCATGGGAAGCAGAGCTTGGCCAGCTCTGTGTACCTGCAATAAAGTGCTAGAGATTGCAGCAGAATAGCACTGGGGCCAAGCCACAAACCCCGTATGAGTGCAGATTCGCTTGAGGCCAGAGGTAAAGCCTAAACCCTCTTCGAATCCTGAACCTCTGCATGTACCGACTGAAAATAGTGAGATTCCCATCAGTCCAGAGGGAGGATTGCACGAGAGTGCACGTGTGTGTGTGTGTCTGTGAGAGAGAGAGAGAGAGAGAGCGTGTGCTTGTGCGTGTGCGTGCGTGCGCGTGTGCGTGTGCGTGTGCGTGTGGGGGTGTGGGTGTGGGTGTGGGTGTGGGTGTGTGTGTGTGTGTGTGTGTGTGTGTGTGTGTGTGTGTGTGTGTGTGTGTGTGTGTGTGTGTGTGTGTGTGTGTGTGTGTGTGTGTGTGTGTGTGTGTGTCTGTGTCTGTGTCTGTGTCTGTGTGTCTGTGTGTCTGTGTGTTTGTGTGTTTGTGTGTTTGTGTGTTCGTGAGAGTGTGAGTGTGTGTTTGTGTTTTTGTGTGTTCGTGAGAGTGTGAGTGTGTGTGTGTGTGTGTTTGTGTGTTCGTGACAGTGTGTGTGTGTGTTTGTATATGTGTGTCTGAAGACGCAGAAGGAGTGAGATTTAACGTCGTTCTTTGCCCGAAGGAACAATTCCGTCGGCGAATGCAACAAACCATTATCCTAGGAGATGATTTTTGCTGCCTAATCGTGCACAACTCATGTTGAACTTTGTGCACAAACATGGTGACCGACTGATCAAAGAGAAGCCAGTTCCCCAGAAGCGGTTTCCAGCACATTGAAGCTTGTGCAGCGTGTGTTGAAGTAACCATTGGAGTCAAAAATTCTGTGCTTCCCTCCCATGAATGGGTATGTGTGTGTGTGTGTCATCCCTGTATCGAAGGGCTAAGCACAACTGATGTTGATTATCTTGACAACGCAGGGGGCCCGAGGGCTCATCATACAGCTCGGGCCAACGAAGATCTGTATGATGAAGCCAGGAAAACGTACCTGCAGATCAGTTCCTGGGTGCTGCTATGCACAGCTGGATTGGTCAACTTCATGCAGCTTTCATGTGTGATGCGTTCTTGCATGCAGAGATTGCCTCGCCATTTGTCTGCAGTGGTAGAGAGTGAGATCCAGGTGGAAGGTAACAGGGGTTCCTTGACTTCCTTGACTATTAAATCGCACATGCTTGCTGTTGTTGGAAAAGTCTGGAGACCGACAAATCTAGACAGCCAAAAAGCAGCAAATCAGTAATTCTAAACAGAGCCACATCTCCGGCTTACATCTAGACCAAGAAGTCTACTGCAAGTGTGTGGGTGGGGGTGGGGGGCGAGGCCAATGGAGTTTTGTCGTTGTTAATGCTCCTTCCATATCGAAGCTGTTGCATTCTCAATTTGCAGGGCTTCCGGATTTGGTCCCGTATAGGTTTCGCGCCAATCGCGAAGAAGGTCATCTCAGCATGACAGACTACTGATCAGCATGGGCCCTTGATAATAGGAATGTGCCTGAGTGTCGAAGAATGTTGATGGAGGCCGACGATGTGGTGGCTCACGTCCAGTTCCGTTCAGAACATGGTCCGCTTGTGTCTTGCTTGCACATCTTGCCACAGCGCATGAAGGAAGTTGGCCGGTGTCGCCGGGACACTCCAGCACTACTTGAACTGTCAGGTGCCGCTGCCCCATGCTCTTCGCGGCTGCGAAGTTAAGGCGCATCGGTGCCCGAACAGGGGGGCTGTCGACTTCTGCCGATGTTGCAGCGAACGCTGCTCTGAGGTCAATGAATGTCAAAGACTTTTCAAAACAAACGCCTGTGCGCTCTTCTTTTCAGGCAACTGCCGCGAAATGGGTGGTCTGTGACATCTTCGAAATGTTGCCAGCATCTCAGCTCTTGCAGTGCCACACCCTTCGCTGAGGTGACGAGTCACACCCTGAGTAGAGGTGCCGTATCGCCTGCGTCTGTACTGTAGATGATTGTAGATGCTATGTGACCTTCTTGACCCGGACAATCCTGCTCACAGAGACAAGCCGAGAAGACTCGAAGACTGCGACGATGTCTGAGATCATGCCTGCTGCGTAGAGCTTTAAGGTCAAGCTGATCTGGCCTTCATAAACGTCTGCCTTGTCCTGCAACTTCCCCTTCAGGTTCAATTCTCCCAGACCTTACCTCCTACTGCGTGGTGTGATACACAGGATTTCTTTTTTCTGCAGCATCAGCGACATGACTTACTGACCGCAGGCTGTCCTGGCATGCACGCAATCGAGTCGCCTGCGATGCATGTTCCCTGCTCTTGCAACCATTCCAGGAGGCAGCGCAGTGGTGCTTGTTGGGCGGGTTTTGAGTGGCATGTAGTTGTGGGTCATATCTGTATCTGATTGGTCGCCGGGAGTCGGCCTAGCAGGCTTTCAGCTCGGAGACTCGTGGTCTCAGCCGTGTCCGTTCCTAAGCACCAAAAGCAACATAGCAGATGAAACTCCCAAAAGCGATGCAATCATGCATCGAAGAACGAACTAAACTAGTGAGCAGAGGACTACAAAGAGTAAAACGGGTCAAAAACGCCTTTGAGACGCAACCCTCAGTGAGACAGCTACCGACTAGACCACAGTACAAGTACAAAACGTGAACGAAGTGCTACAACTGCCAGCATACAGCACTTACTGCCCGCACACATAGGCCTAATGCCCAAGCATAAGCACATGGGACTAAAGCCCAAGAAACACATGGGCTGAATGCCCAAGATGCACATGGGACTTAAGCCCGAGCAACACATGGGTCAAAAGCACCAGAAGCACCTGGGACAAAAGCCCAAGAGTCAATGGGTCTAAGGCCCAGGTACCACTGGCAGCATTCCAAATGCGCAAAGGATCAAAAGCTCCACAAGTATCATACATCCATGTGCATTGGATGAAAACCCACATGTCGTAGATGAGGAAGATCATCACTGCCATATGATAAGCGGCTAGCACAGCACGTCTCCCACACCAAGCCAATGTACCTTGTAGAAGAAGCGGTTTACATGTAATGTAAGGCGGCACAACATTCGTTGGTTTGCAGTCACGTTGTTGATGCACAGTCGTATGTCAAATACAATGAGGCCTTGACCCAACACTTCGCAGACTAGATTCACAGTGACAAGAACAAGACGACACAACCGAGAAGAAGTGCAAGCGTGTCTGCAAGCCGTTTTTGAAAGGGTCTTGATTAGGCGGTCTTTTTACCAATGTCGACATGTCAGCAGGGCGGCAGTGGACATTCTGGAAGGAACTGCCCAACGAAGACTTTTCCATGTTGTCGTCATATGGATTGGGGACGCTCAATCCACGTACCTGCAATGGCCCAAACAACACCCTGAACTTATTGCTTCTGTCCTAGCCCGGATGACGTCTTGCTGTTATTTATATCAGGTTTGGACATGGCGAGAGGGCCAACCAACAAGCCCTCACGGCGACTACTCAGTGATCTACTCGCGTTCGGTGTCAGCAGTTCAGTGCTGGAGATTGCTTAAGACTCCAGTGAGTGAGCTGTGTTGTACGCTTACCACAGTTTGTTGAAATTCGAGGTTTCTATTTCACTGGTTCGAAGGATCGTTGTGGTTTAGTCCGGCAGGTTAAAGCACCAGGTCGCAACTTTCCGCTCTTTTTTCCCCACATCTATGTGTGGGGTTCTTACTTTTTGGGGCTGTCCCGCCTCCTCTTCCTCATGCTCCTCCTCCTCCTCCTCCCTCCTCCTCCTCCTCGTCCACCTCCTCCTCACTTCATGACGCAGACACACACACTTCCTGGCCTCACTTCATGATGCAGACACACACTCTTCATGAATGATGCAGACACACACACACACATACACATGTACACACGACCCTCTTCCGCGACTAAAGAACCTCCCGGCCTGCTCTGGCCAAGGCCGCGCGCGCCCTGGGGGCGAGACTCTTCCGCGACTAAAGACCCTCCCGGCCTGCTCTGGCCAAGGCCGCGCGCGCCCTGGGGGCGAGACTCTTCCGCGACTAAAGACCCTCCCGGCCTGCTCTGGCCAAGGCCGCGACTAAAGACCCTCCCGGCCTGCTCTGGCCAAGGCCGCGCGCGCCCTGGGGGCGAGACTCTTCCGCGGCTAAAGACCCTCCCTGCTCTGGCCAAGGCCGCGCGCGCCCTGGGGGCGAGACTCTTCCGCGACTAAAGACCCTCCCGGCCTGCTCTGGCCAAGGCCGCGCGCGCCCTGGGGGCGAGACTCTTCCGCGACTAAAGACCCTCCCGGCCTGCTCTGGCCAAGGCCGCGCGCGCCCTGGGGGCGGACTCTTCCGCGACTAAAGACCCTCCGGGCCTGCTCTGGCCAAGGCCGCGCGCGCCGTGGGCGAGACTCTTCCGCGACTGAAGACCCTCCCTCCTGGCCTGCTCTGGCCAAGGCCGCGCGCGCCCTGCAGGGGGCGAGACTCTTCCGCGACTAAAGATCCTCCCGGCCTGCTCTGGCCAAGGCCGCGCGCGCCCTGGGGGCGAGACTCTTCCGCGACTAAAGAACCTCCCGGCCTGCTCTGGCCAAGGCCGCGCGCGCCCTGGGGGCGAGACTCTTCCGCGACTAAAGACCCTCCCGGCTGCTCTGGCCAAGGCCGCGCGCGCCCTGGGGGCGAGACTCTTCCGCGACTAAATCCCCTCCCCGGCCTGCTCTGGCGGAGGCCGCGCGCTCTTCCGCGACTAAATCCCCTCCCCGGCCTGCTTTGGCCAAGGCCGTGCGCGCGCTGGGGGGGAGACTCTTCCGCGACTAAAAACACTCTAAAGCCTGCTCTGGCCAAGGCCGCGCGGTCCGCGACTAAAGACCCTCCCGGCCTGCTCTGGCCAAGGCCGCGCGCGCACGCTGGGGGCGAGACTCTTCCGCGACTAAAGACTCTCCCGGGCCAAGGCCGCGCGCGCGCTGGGGGCGAGACTCTTCCGCGACTAAAGACCCCTCCCCGGGCTGCTCTGGCCGAGGCCGCGCGCGCGCTGGGGGCGAGACTCTTCGACCAAAGACCCTCCCCGGCCTGCCATGGTGGAAGCCGCGCGCGTGCTGGGGGCGAGACTCTTCCGCGACTAAATCCCCTCCCCGGCCTGCTCTGGCGGAAGCCGCGCGCGCGCTGGGGGCGAGACTTTTCCGCGACTAAATCCGGTCCCCCGGCCTGCTCTGGCGGAAGCCGCGCGCGCGCTGGGGGCGAGACTCTTCCGCAACTAAATCCCCTCCCCAGCCTGCTCTGGCGGAGGCCGCGCGCGCGCTGGGGGCGAGACTCTTCCGCGACTAAATCCCCTTTTTGGCCTGCTCTGGCCAAGGCCGCGCGCGCAGACACACACAGACACACACAGACACACACAGACACACACAGACACACACAGACACACACACAGACACCCACAGACACACACAGACACACACACACACACACACAGACACACACAGACACACACAGACACACACAGACACACACAGACACACACAGACACACACAGACACACACACACACACAGACACACACAGACACACACCGACACACACAGACACACACCGACACACACCGACACACACCGACACACACAGACACACACAGACACACACAGACACACACACAGACACACACAGGACACACACAGACACACACAGGACACACACAGACACACACAGGACACACACAGACACACAGAGACACACACACACACACAGACACACACACAGGACACACACAGACACGCAGAGACACACACACACACACAGACACACACAGACACACACAGACACACACAGACACAGACAGACACACGCAGACACACAGACACACAGACACGCAGACTCGCAGACACGCAGACACACAGACACAGAGACACAAACACACACAGACACCCAGACACGCAGACACGCAGACACACAGACACGAAGACACACAGACACACAGACACGCAGACACCCAGACACCCAGACACACAGACACACAGACACACATACACACAGACACACAGACACTCAGACACCCAGACACACACTCACACACTCACACACTCACACACTCACACACACACACACACACACTCACACACTCACACACTCACACACTCACACACTCACACACTCACACACCCACACACACACACACACACACTCTCTCTCTACACTCGCACACCACACATGCACATATCATACACCCTACACCCACGTACGCACTCACAGCAGCACTCACTCATTCGTTCACTCACACACTCATTTACTCCCTCACTCATTTACTCTTCTGCACCTTTGTGTTCTATATGAATGGATGATCTTCACATGTGGGGTTATCCGGTCCTTTAATTTCTGCATTTCGGAACATGAGGCCACATGTCAACATGTTGCTGTTGGATAGGCACTGTGCCTTGGCCACCAGCATACAAAGCAAAAGCGGCGTGTTTGTGTGTCATTGAATTTTGCATTCCTCAGAAGTCCGCTAGAGTTCATCATTTGTGGCCAGCATTCACGACGCAGATGCACGCAGCAGCAGAAACACAGTGACAACAGCGTCGTGTGGCCAAAGCCAAGATATCCCGAACAGGAAGCTGGCCTGTGCTTGAAACATCCTAGCTCAACTGTATGCTCGTTCGATCCCACAAGACTAGGTTGAGCATCGCTCGGCTTGAAATCCACTCGCGAATACAGTGAGAATTGCATGGAAAATTTGCATCGTGTTGCCACTACGTTCGGACGTGCAGATCAGGTGATTGCCGCCTTTTGGGGTGATTGAGACCTCAAGCTTGAATAGACATCAGAACATCGCTTGAATAATCTGACCCTCTCCGGTGTGACAAATAAACTCGAAGCAACATTTCGTCGTTTTAAAGGAGCATTCGCGTGTGTTGCAGTCAATCTCGGACACCCCGTATCGTACCACACAAAGTTCAACATAGTTCAACCACAGTGCGGTATGTGTGTGGTTTGGGCACATATTCAGTACACCGGTGTTGTTGTAGACGAGCCGTCTCTGCGTGCACCACAGGCCAACCAGAGCTATGCGTGGGCCGCACGGAGCCGCACTGCCTGATCAGCCTTCAAAAAGAGTGATTGCGGCATGAATGCGTGGTGGTCTTGCTGCCTCGGAGCTCCGCCTCGCAGGCTGCACACTTGGGCCTGCAGTGCGTGATCCTTCCCCCACCCAGCTGCTTGGCGACGGGACATGAAGTGCCGTTTCCCAGCTATGAGCAAGAGTCGGGTCGTTTTGACAATGGCTGCCAAGGAGATGCCAGGGCTGGCAACACCGGTGGCTGTAATTACGCCAGGACTCTAGGGGCATGCACCCCAGACCTCAAACAAGACACTGCGCACGGTCTTCTGCTGGAAATGGCAGCTACCCAACAGGCTCTGCTACATGACGGGCTGTACTCCATGGCAGCAACTGAGGACTGCCACAGCTCGTCGTAAGGCTGCAGATCGAGCTGGTACCACGCTCTACTAGGTTCCAAAAGATGTTCGGCTTGTTGCGGGCACGAAATGGCACGAACACATGAACCACCGTCGACCGACTGCTGTGCCTCGCCGTCGTTCGAGGGAGTTGGCACCGGAAGCACCAACGACGACAACAACAGCAACAACCACAACCACCACAACAACAGCAGCAGCAACAGCAGCGACAACAGCTGCGACGACAAGAATGAACAAGAAGGTCGCTGGTTGTTTATTCACATTTGTGCGGAAGGCCAATGTTAGAGCTGTGTGCAGTGTTTTTTTTGCTCTTGCTTTCTCACGGATGCAGGATATGCAGGGAAGTGTGGCAAATACTGTGGTGTTCGACATTTGTTGTGTGATTCTTGCGAGTGGTGCAGAGGTTTGCTCGAGCACCTGCTGTGTGCAGGATAAGTCGCCTGCGATTCAGTTTTTGAGAAAACCCTACAAATATATAATGTGGTCGTCGGCGCTAAAGTGTGATGGTGGTGAATTTGGTTAAGCCGTAATCCCGAGACTCCGACCCGACTCTAACCCGAAAGCCCGAAACTCAAGACTCCGACCCCACAGCTTGAAAACCCTTTACCCCTCAACCAAGACTTCCAACTCTAAAACCCCAAAGCCTGAAAATGCAAGACCCCAAACTTGATGAACGCAAGACTTCAAAGCTCCAAGCCTTGGTTCGGCGTCGCGGTTTCTTGCTCCAGAAAACTCCCAGCTAAAGGCCCAAAAGTCTTCTGACATTCGGAATGCTTCTTTGTTGCCCCGCAGCGAAATGTAGAACAGCAGCATGCAGCCACAGGCCGTCAAGTCTAGAAAGCATCCTACCGATATTTGCAACCAGAAGGGGCAGACGTAGCTGTAGGATTGGCCAAGATGTGCCGTCCGCCGGGGTCTGCCGTTTTCGCATGTACAGACTTTCACAACAAAGCGCTTACTGTCTTCGTCCTGCGGAAGGTGAAACCTTATGTGCGGTGTCAGATTGGTCATTGTGTCGGAACCACCACCACGACCAGGAGAACAACAACAACGAACAGTACCAACTGCAGCCAATCATCCACTTACCTGGCTAATCTGGCAACAACAGCGAAAGCACAACGAAGCAAGAAGAGCCAGAGCAGCAGCATCAACAAACAGGAATTGTAAAGAAAATCATGGCAGCTCAATGACGAGGTCATCGATGTCGATCATGCTCACATCAAAAGCTGTAACCGGCCACACTGTTTGCAGAAGGATGTGGCACCAGTTGCCCTGCGCGTGCCTGCAGCTGCTGCTGGATGGTCTGCGCGGAGAGCTTGGCACCGCGATGTTAAAGCGAAGCAGTGCGGGAAATTTGGTCGCGTGCAGGTACAAGTGTGCACTCTGCGTGCGTGCAAACATGCACCAAGGTGGAATCGTTTTCGTACGCTGGCTGGTCACCACCATCGGCAGCGCCCCTGGCAGATGAACGTGCGCCCCTGCACACAACATCGCAATCGAGTTTGCAGGGGTCGTTCTCTGACCGGGTTACAGGGGTGCCAATGGCCATTTGCAAGGCTTTGCGTTGCCTTGGAGTTGACCGTGACCGGCGCGACGGAGAGGGTTCCTGCCCGAGGAATTCTTCGGTTTTGTTGACACTGAACGAACAGCATCGCGGCTGTTCATGAAGATTTTCAGGCATGATGTGTCCTGTCCTTGTGTTGGCGTGAGCACCAAGGAGCTGGAGCGATGGCTGCGCCCATAGATGTTCTGACATTCATGCCGCAGGTCGATGCTGTCAGTACCCCTTTGATCGGCAACACCTTGTTTGTGGCTGCTACTGCCTTCTGTACCCGGACGAGCAAACTTCCAGCATCTTCCAACGATTTGCAGAAGAATAGGCTTACCCAAATTTTGCTCATGATTCAATTCACGTGCTAAGCTGCCGGAAGATGTAACAATCTAGAATCTAGCAATGCCGGAGAAGCGCTCCGAGGTTGGCTGAACCCGTGAGATACGTGGTGTTGCCCTCCTCTGCGTTCATTCTGAACAGGCCACGGCACCGTCGGCACAGTGTCACATGCTGGGGCGATGTTCTGAAGCAGGACTGGCCGTCAATTTGCTGTCCAGGTCTGGCTATCCCGTGCTACCCAAGAAGGGCAAGGTGGGGCCCCATGTTGAGGTTGCTGCTAGGTGCGCCAGCCAAGCAAGTTCACAGCGACAGCACGAACCGGGACACCGGGCAGCTGAAGTCTTGTTGGAAAGGTTTGCTGTCATCAAACGAACATTGGCTTGGCCAGAAACAAACCTCATCCAGAGCTGTCAACGTGGGTCAGGTGCGGGGATCGCACACTTATGATGTGTCCTCCGGGTCCGAAACCGTTGACATGCTGATTTTGATTGGCTTGACAATGGTTGGCTGTGTACGGTCCTGACCAGTTCTGGCAGAGTTCCTAACATCGAACATCCGGCAGCTTCGCGCTGAGGTTTTGCTCCAGCAGCTCTTCCGGCGCAAGGCAGCTGCTGTTGTAACTCCCTGTTGACAGCTCGGTGACGGCCTTGCGCATGAAAGGTGCAGCTCATCGTGTCTGGGCCCGATGCAACGGCAGTGGATGCAAACGATCATGAGGTGCAGCAGCTTGCACTTGTGCAGCGCAGCTGCGAGGCTGTGTGTTGACAGCCGTCTTTTGGCAGGGTATACAGTCGCGTCTGTCGTACGTGGCGCGTCTCTTTCAGGACCTGAGTGTCTGAGTAGAGTAAGATGTTTGGAGGAGGCATTGCTGACGTGGAAGATTCATGTGCTATACTCTGGGCAGAACGAAATGCTGGCAGCATCAACGCGTGTCAAACTGCAGCTTGACACTGCATCGCAATGCACCCGCATTTAGGCAGCAACGTACCTCTGACTGGTAGAGACCAGCCAGAGGTTCCAAGTTTCTTGATTGAATTGCGGCTTTCATCTAAGCAGGAAAGACGTTGAGCGGCGTTCTTCGTGGGTGTCACATCTTGAGGACTTGCCTGCGCTCTCACAAGCAGAGCGGTTTGAATATTCGCACTTGGACACCCTGCAGGCTGGCAGTTTGTGTTTCAAGGTCTGATGCTGATTCTGCACCTTGCTCCCCGGAGAGAGCGGTTTTGACAAGGCACCTTTGCAGCCGCTTGCAGACAATCTGGAGGACCTCTCAGTGACCCCATATGAGCCAATCATGCAGCCGTTGTGCGTGCCACCACCCTGCAGCATCATGCAGCATCGGTCTTGCCTGGATAATTATGGGCCTCATTGTGCAGAAGTCCTTGCTTTGCCCGTTGCCGTCACGACATGCTGCTAACTAAAGCATTGATGCCTGGCAGTCCGAAACCTATGAACTCTTCGAAAAAGATCCAGTCAAGTACGCTGGGACCTCAGGCACGCAGCAGTGTCGAGCGTGACGCAAACCAGTACGCAAACCACGTCTTTTGCTCAGTGACTGCCTTAGGCCAATTATCAGCGCGCCGGGCTTGCCTGTTTAGTGGGTCTCCAGCTGGGAAGTGTCGTGGCTTTCTCGGAACGGCCGTGCCGAATTGCCGATCGGAGGCCTTGTTTTCCTTCTTCTGCGATCGCCGAGCACAGGGAAGACCTCCACCCTTCTGTGTGACTGGGCGTGTGGCATGTGGAGCAGACATTGCTCCATTGTTGAATTGGGGGAACGGACATAGAAGCAGAGAAGTAGGATTGTCGTTGTGCCATGGTGGGCCTTTTTTGCGCTCCCCGAGGTGATGGTCCTGGGTGCCGGGCGCGGTCCTCTAGTGGAAGCAGCGGTGAAGGCAGCAGCGCAGGCGGAGGTGCCGGCATGGCGAAAACGCACGAGCACGAGGAAACAGTGTATCCTTCAGGTTCAGGTGGAGCTCTATGCCGTGGAGAAGAATCCTAATGCAGTCCGAGCCCTCGACGAAGCTAGCACAGCTTCCTTCATACGGCTTCGCACGCCCAGCCCCTGTTCGCCTTAAAGCCTCAGGTCCATGCCCTCCGGCACCGGCAGAGAAGGGATGGATGGACATCGGTGCAGGTGGAACCTTGAGACTCGAGCCGCTGCAGACACTCTGGCATCCAGTTTGTACTTGAGTGGCTCAGGCCACGGCACCCTGCTGCCAGGCTTCTCATTAGCATCATGAGGGGCATTGGACGCGACACCCTTGCGTTCCCCATATGAGATAACTTGGGAAACCGGTTCAAGGACTCTGGCAGTCTGGCACAACACTGGCAGTTGCAAAATGAAGGAAGCAAACGACGCTACCGACCCGCGCTGCAGAGCATTGCGGAGCCAAGCCATGGCTAAAGTCTCCTGTGCACTTCGGGCCTTTGAGGCTCGCGAAGCTTGGGGCCATTGCTCTTAGTAATAATAATTTAGCCTAGCAGCGGAATTGTGCTCCGCTTCGCAGGTGCCTCCCGACATGCTGCAAACGTCAACGCCCCAGCGGCCCTGGCACGGCCCTGGCACGGCCCTGGCACGGTGTCTTCGGACTTTGCATTGCCAAGGTCCCGTCAAGTTGCTGCAGAGTTTGTGTCAAGGCGAGTGGCGGGGAGCATTGGCGTGTTTTCTGCAACTTTCGTGTAAGACATGCACAGTCCAGACCTTTCCATGAGCGTGAGACTTCGTTGCGGTACTGATCTCCCTTGGGTGTGTCGATTCTCCAACTCCATCCTCTTGTCGGAAGATGGGGGGTCGGAAAGTGAGAGGTAGGTCTCTTGTCGCCGTATGGTTAATGAAATTTTGCCCTGCTGACGCTCATGATGCTGATATTGCTTTTCAGAGCACGAAGATGACAGTAGTTTGTTTGCACTGGCTGATGTACACAGATCCAAACCTGACGGCTCAACGGCATGTGGACATGTGCTCGAATTCAGTGAAGGCTCTGGGATGGTATTGGGGAATTTCCAAACGTACGGGCAGAATGTGTGAGACAGCGTGAGAATATCAAGGCAAGTTGCCTTGTCTGATTCTTACAGGGCGTCCATGCGTCTTTGCTACTGCTTGCAGGCTAGATCCCTCGTTGGTTGACATCGGACACGGCATTGAGGCACGACTGTCCTGCTCGTTGCCGTAGCGAGCTTCAGACTTGCTTGCCTGAGAGTTGTGGTTGACAAGCACTGGGGTGTATGTACGCTCAGCATTTGGTGGCCTCCTGTGTTGCATGAGCTTGACTTCTGCTGGCCTGGGTTGCATCCAATCGGACAAGCAGGGCAAAATGAAATGGAGAACCACAATCTGGAGGAAGAGACACAAATGAGCGGAGACAGGGAGGCAGCATTGTCATGCGCGTCTTTGGCAGGTCACCCGTAGCAGGTGTTTGTGTGAAGCCATGTTGGCCTTTAGGAATTTGACCCGGTCCTTGATGGCATCCCTCCAAAGATGATGGGGGAAGAGGATCGAATCGAGAAATTTCTTAATTCGGATTGCTTCAGTGTGATTTGACATGCATGTGATGGCTGTTGTATCCTGCAGGTTGTGCGGCTTTCAGAAACTATAGCAGACTGGGGAGGTATCACAGGTAGCTCGAGACTGTGTCGTCGAAAAGTCAGGAACACTGCTTTTTCTGCGAAGCCTTTCTACTTGACTTGAAGCCCATGTTAGCAAACGAAAGAATCAGTCAGCACTATCCAACGAGCCTCCCAAAGCTTCCTCGCATGTTGCCCAAATACTGAATTTGGTACACATGGTTTGTGTGGTCTGCCCACACTCTCACAGAAGGGAATACGGTGGTTGCAGAACTGCCGGAAGCCATTATGTTCCTGTGACTGATGAGAAGGATGCACACATGTTTTTCTGACAAGTCTCCACGAGAAGTTTCATGCAGATCTTGCGGCATCTGAGACCTTGGCCGCACGACTGCACCGGTGGTAGGTGTATCGCCTACACAAGCTTCAACTTGACGAAGACGTCTCCGAGGGAGATGAGCTGCTTTGCAGTCTCCTTGCGTAGATTGGTCAATGCTGCGTAGCTTCTGTGTGTGCTGTCACCTTGACAGCATGGACAGATCTTCAGTGCAATCCCTTCAGCAAGGTCTACCTACATGGCGCTTTGACATGGATGCGCTCGAAGGCATGTTTTCCGAGCTCGAGGACTCGTTTTGCACACATTGGTGCGGCCATCTTGCATGTCGTTGTCGAATTGTCGTGGCCACAGGAGCTCAGAGCCAAGCATTCCGAGCTTGGACGCAACTTCGAAAATGCCGCAGCTAATCTACTTTCCTACGGCACAAAGCTCAGTAGCAAGCATACGCACTCAAGCATACGCACTTGCATTCAATGATATGCAAATTGGCTTCCCTGCTCTCACTTACATGTGCCGAGGCCCTGCTGTGCACTCTGATGCTACTGCTCCGAACTTGGCATTTGTCAGCATTTGGATGGCAAGGCAGACGTCGAAAGAGCATCAAGCGAGGATAGATGTATAGTACATGTGTTTACTTCTTATACATACATGCATGCATGCATACAGACAAATACATATGCACATGCATAAAGGGGGGCTGCGGTGGAACTGCCGACTTGCCATCAATCCAGGTGCAACAGATGCGACAGCATCTGGCGCAACGCGATGCTCAGATCGCTGTGCCTGTGCCTTATCCGTTGCATGTGCTTCTGGTTTCCCATTTTCGCTTTCTCGCTAAGGGAGAAGCAGACCCAGCAGAAGCTGCGAGCTGACTTGCTGGCTATCCGGGAACAGCCCTGCCGGCTTCCTTTCAGGGGCCAGTCAGTCGGGACTCACCGAGCTCCAGATCTTGACGTATGCTGTGGCAAGACGCGAAAATGGCAGGTCAGAGCATTTGATGCAGCTGGTCCTCGAAGAGGCCGTCAACGGAAGCAGACACAGCGCTACCGCCAGAGCCTTGGCCGGACCTCCTCACCATTGTTGAAAGCCTTCTGTAGAACTCAGCCTGTCTTGAGGCCAGCCAGACTCAAGCAGACTCAATGGGAGCATTCTCTGCAGGAGATTTGAGCTGGTGTGATCGGCGCTGTTGTGAGTTTGCGCTCTCTGAGCAGGCCTTCAGCACCCTGCGACAGGCCGCCAGCATCCGCCAGCCGGCACTTGTGTGTTGCTTGCAACATGCGACATGCTGTGCACGTGGGCCAAGCGCCCATTGCCTCTGTCAGGGACCAGTCGATGTAATGTATTCCCAAAGCGGTACTTTGGCAGTTCAGCTTCAGACTGCAACCGTACCAGCTTGAAAAAGATGAAGGGCGGCTGGCGAGTGGAGAGAAATAGGGACCCAGCACGACAGGGTTGTGCAGAGTCTACAGCCCACCGTGAATCGCAACACCAGCATCTGAAGCGTGCTTTCTTGCGTTGACGCCATACCTCCGCCTCAAGACCACCGAATGTCCGGGCCTAGTTTGTTCTTTACTCCCGAAAGAGTGGCGACAAGTCAACGTGCTGCGGAAACAAAATGAACTTGCGCAGTGTTTGCCTCATTCGAGCTTCACTCCCAAGTCAATTTCCGTCTTGCGAGTGATTGTGATGATGCTCGGAACGACTGACCTGAGTCTGACGTGTTTTCTAATTTTTGCTCCTCCCAGTCTCACACGCGCTCTCTGTATGTCTGTCTCACTCACTCACTCACTCACTCACTCACACTTGCAGGGGCCGGCAAATTCTGGTTTTGGGGGAACGGTGTACTTACATGGTAGACTTTCTTGCCAGGGATGCCATCCGTGAGAGGATCAGCAATCAGCGATAAGACCCAGTGAGGGACAGCTCATGCCACTGCAGCCCGTCATATTCCGTGGGCCGTGGGCAGGTCAGCGCTTCGTGGCAACAGGATCACCGCGCACGAGCGGAGCTGCACTCCCAGCCTGAGTCTTCATTGCAATCATCGCAATCGCACAAGTTGTCACCGTGCTCTAGTCGACAAAAAACGGTTCCCTGTGCCGGGACGGAAGGGCTTAATCTAATCAAGAGTTCCAGACTTCTCGAAGGCTATGGAAGTGAAACGAGGTTGATATCTGCAGTAACCTGCACAGGAACAACGATTAATTACTGATCCCGATTCCCCGTTCTGCGAGCACACGTCCCTAAGGCCGTGAGGCAGGGTCAAGTGGTCACGGCTTGCACCATGCAATGCCCCCTGCCCCCCTTACCTCACTATGATTTACAAATGAAGACACAATAGATTACGTCAGGGAGACAAACTCCCCTATTTCGGGCAACTTGATGTGCAAGGCGGAGAGGCCCGGCCACAAAACCAGTATCGCACGTGACGTTTGGTGCGCCGTTAAAGATCTTGACCCCGAGAGAACGGTTGTTGGTGCTGTGGACGGACTTTTTGTTATGTTTTTTCTGTTGCAGTCAGGCTTTGCGGTCTCGCTATGGACAAGGTCTGCCCAGGACGGCGTGTTATCCAAAATGTACTGACCGCCGCATGCGTCTGAACGACAGAAGTCTGTAGCATGGAGGATCGAGGCTTCAAATGTACAGGAAACAGCCAGATCACGTATTTCAGTAGGATCGGAAGCAAGCACCGTTCATGAACGTGCATGACATGACTGTGCCCACCATCATGTGGTAGCGTTGGATCTGCTGGAATCCAGGACACATGGCAATCCGCGAAGATACTGAGCCAGATTCGTGCGCCTCATGTGGACATCATGCAGGGGTTGTGTGCACAGCATCAACCAACCAATACCATGTGGGCAGAGACGTCCGTTGCTACCTGGAGGAAATTCCAGACAATGGTTCACAAGGCTATGTAAGATGCCGTTGTTGGCTGATCATTTCTTCGCGCAGCAGCTCAACCACATGAGCCAGGTTTAGCACTTTAGCACAATGCATTTGCGATGAGTGCAGGCCCGTAGGCCTCCGAAGCGCCGCTTGGGTTGGCCTCAATGTCGCCGCAAGAAGAAAGAGTCTCTTGCACCAGCAGGCTTGTGTTGTGACACGGTTGCCTCCCCTCGCAATCTGGTTTTCTCAGTCTTGGAACTTATGATCTTGGTGGGCGGCACGAGCCGCGCGTGTCACCGTGTTAGATGGGTTAGGCATATTGGGCCACCCTGCGCTTTTCGATCAGGACATTAGGACAGGAGCCATTCCTAAGCAGGGCAGAATGACGGACGACTTGTTACCAGTTCAATATGTTCGGGTTCCAGACCCGGAGACTGCCCCCGAAGTTTCTTTTTGCGAGCCACTTGATTGTCTCCGGGCCGCCAAGACTGTGCAATCCACTGGTTCGGTGCTTGACACTACTCACGAAATCTGACAACCAGCAATTACTGCGATGCTCTGCAGGAGTCTATACTCCTAGCCACGACATGTGTGTCGTGGGCTGTGGCGGAGCAACTGTTGCCAGGTCGTGGCCGGAGACATGCGGGACTGGGAAGCTCCAAGGAAAGCGGACGTTGGGGTGTCAGTTTGCTGAGCCTCGCGAATTCTGATCAGCAAGCATCAGGCACAAATTGCATATCCCTGAAGCGAGGTCATTGTCAGCGAGTTGCTGGGCTCCTTTGGTGACAACGAGCTCAGCTCGAGCCCCAGCAAATCGGCCCTTGGTCTCACAAGCCTGTCTTGGAAAAACCTTTTGCAATCAAACACTTGGTGAATCTCCTTAACTTATAGTCTCCGTGGGCAGTGAAGGGTTATGCTGAGCTCTTTTCGGTTTGCGGGCATCCCAGTCCGTCAGAAAACTGCGCAGTTTACTGGCATACTGAATTACTAATGTGTTTTGCGACATCATTCATCATGTGGTGCAGAAGTGTCTTCTCGGTGGGAACATGCCGGGACAAGCCAGGAGCATGTTCGAGAGGCCACACGGGCCTGGACAAGAACAAGAACCGATCAAAGCCGACCGTTGCCGCAGAACAGCATGATGAGTTGCTTCGGCTTCGCTGTGCCAAGCAAGGTCCTGAATGTTTGGATGGCGCGCCCTTCGGCTGCGGTTTTGCTGCTGCATTGCCAAGACATGACACGATTTGCTAGCTGCCCCGAGACAGCGATTCCTGGCTGCAGACGGCGTTTGCATTCCGCAAAGTTGCTGTGCTGCACTGCAGAATGTCGCGGGGCACGGGGGGGGTGTCTGAAGCCTGAGGTTCCTGTAATGCTAGCTCGGCCGATTTGGGCTGCTTGCATTGCTTCGCAAACCAGGCAGTAAGAGAAAGGATGCGAGTCCTTTGCTTCCCGAGAAATGCATCTCATTTTTCATCGCGGTGGTCTAATCTTATTCATAGGGTTATGTGCTGAAACTTGAATCAGACGGCAGCTGCGAGGGACCCTTGAGTGTCTGAGGTCGTCGTCGCAGAACGCAGTGTTCACATACATCATACGAGTCATATGTCTTTATGTTGGGGAGCCGCGCCCTCCGCAGGTGTGGACCGCAGCCTCCCAGGATCAGAGTGGGTGATTTGCCAGAAACACATAAAGTCATTGGTCTGTATCATACACTTGCGCCGGATGATACTGTCAGCCGTTCGCATTCTGATTTGCTTCGCTTCGGCTGCGTGGATTCTGCATCTGCAGTGTGCTTTCAAACTAAAGTGGGTTGTGCAGTGACGCCGGGGGCATCTTAACATGGGGTCATGTGAGGCAAAAATAAGCGCGGCCTGGAGCTACGTGATGCCTTGGCAAGAGCCTACCATTGAGTTGATACCACATGACAGCGGGGGGTAATTAGAGTACATTGGATGTCATTTTAAAAAAGGAGCAGCATGGGTGTACACCTTACCCGAAGGGGCCATTGCGTCAGAGCAGGGCAGGCCAGTGCCAGCCGGCTGCCAGAAACGTAGTGCAAAGACTCAGGGAAGTCGGCCTCTGGCGTACATCCGAGCACATGCAAATATGCGTGAATTTGTAATATACGTTGAGGGAGCAGTGAAGGCAGTGAAGGGATCTCAAGTGGTGGATTCCGTCTGCAGACCTTTTGAAACCGCCTGATTAGTTTCCTTCAGCGTCTTGAACATCCAAACAACGCAATACTGCTTGGTCAAGGCTATACTGCAGCATTGACCCCAGTCTCGGCGCCGGGGCTGTGGGCTGATGCCCAACAGGGCGCTGCCGGTGGCGGCCTTGCAGATCTGGAGGCTGCCCTTCCCAACCTCTCCAGTGACGTCGAGAGACACAGGGGAGAGACAGTGAGAGGAAGGAAGAGTGTTAAAGCTTCAAAGAACTCCATAAAAACTCCTGCGAAGTCTGAAGTGAAATAAACAAGGAACCAATAACTCCTCTCTGGTACATAACTCGTAGTGGGTCACTAGTACCTGGAAGTCGTCGTCCTGGCTGGCCTGCATGTCACGACGAAGTTAAATGGTAGTGGCAAGAGAAGAACCATGCCATAATGATGATGTGATAGCGACAGCAATGATAGCAGAAAAGTTGGCAGGTGCATCGCTTCGGAATGTTTTGAGACCTTTGTACGGTCCGAAGAAGGAATGCTGTCGATCGGCGCGTGCAGGGGTGAAAGTGGCGTTTCTGAGTTGCTGCAGCCAAAAGTGACCGGCAGTGGCCGGTGCACACCCGCGGCACCTCTTGCGGTAATCGAAACGTTCGAATTCACCGCTACGGACATGGATTGCGCAGCTTCAAGGTCTGGTCGCTCGGGTAAGGTTCGGTCGCGGTTGTTTTTTGGGTGTCCGTACACCTACTCCTACTGCTGCTACTACTACAACTACGACACCACTGATACTGCTACTGCTACCATCACTACTGCTACCACCACTACTATTACTACTACCACTACCACTACCACTACTACTACTACTACTACTACTACTTCTACTACTACTACTACCACTACTACCACTACTACCACTAGTACCACTACTACCACTACCACTACCACTACCACTACCACTACCACTACTACTACTACTACTACTACTACTACTACTACTACTACTTCTACTTCTACTCCTGCTAGTCCTACTAGTCCTACTTCTACTACTATACTTCTACTACTACTACTACTACCACTACTACCACTACTACCACTACCACTACCACTACCACTACCACTACCACTACCACTACCACTACCACTACCACTACCACTACCACTACCACTACTACTACTACTACTACTACTACTACTACTACTACTACTACTACTACTACTACTACTACTACTGCTACTACTACTTCCTTCCTTCCATTCGCGACGAACGTCCAGTGGTCCGCCTCGCGTGCTAGCGAGCAAGCTCCAAGAGCCCGGCTGCACTGCAGCGTTATCTTAGACAACCGCGGAATGATAACATAAAAACTGCACCTCCACGTCGCCCCTTGGGGCCAAGCACGTGGCAAGCCCGAGCCGAAGCTCAGCAGCGGATGCAGCACGAGAGAATATTACAAAGACTGTGGAAGCTAAATCAGGAAAGGGAACATTGGAAAAGGAGCAGCAGGTCACACGCACTCTGCACTGAACTACAGCGCCCACTACGACTATCCACAAGTCATCCACTCAGAAGAAGCCCTCAAAAGAGACCGTCGATAGCACTTGTAGCCTGAGATCGCAGCAGCAGCATAAAGTCGCATGCACTCGAGAGTCGCGTAGCCACCAGGAGCCAGGCTGACCGGAGAAAGGATGCATGACCTCAGCGAGGGAGCAGCACTGCAGCCCACTTGCACAGCAGAGAATGGAGCACCACATAGATAGCGAATACCGCTATTTCCGCGGGCGTCAGCTCCGGAAACTCAGTCAAAAAAACCCAAGCGCAAAACCCATCTGCTGGAGAGCACCTGGTTGGCCTCAGAAATCCTGCGCGATTGGCCAACATGGTATGCCAGCAGAAGAAGCCGAGTGCCCATCCAAGGCAAGCTAGCGTGCAGCGCCCTGGGCGAGAACGATCTCGGAGCTGACAAGTCCAGGATGTGACCGCTCGGGCCGTCCGGGCTCAGTTGAGTGAGTCCACCGTGGGATTCCACAAAGAGCTCGCCTCCAATAAAGCGAGAAACGTGCATGGCCAGGTTACGAGAAGCGCTGTGGTTGAACCTATCACGATGAGGGTGCCCTGCAACATTGAGCGTCAAGGTTACTGTGCTAAAACTCAGAGTGTCATCCCAGGTCGAAACAATGCTCGCCAGAACACCCGTCATGGGACCACGATTCCACGCTCCAGCAGTGAAGCGATGCGGCTGCTGGGCAAACGTTTCTGTCTGCTCCCATCTCATATTCTCATCCCTGGGAAGCAAGCGGGCCAACCTTAGCATCTGCTGCCGGCTTGCCTGACCATGCACAACCATGGCAAAAGCAAGAAGCTCTGCAGGATCATCGGATGGGAAAGCGAGCTTGTCAGCCTGCACACCACGTACCAAATACAGATCCTGTTGCAGAAACTCCAGCTTGAGGTCCACTTCAACCGGCATGAGAGGCCTAGCACCAGCACAGTAGACACCATGATACACATACGACGGCTGCACCATAAGAGGAACACTCCTGTCGGTGGCAAGCACAGGCAGATCCGAACTAGCCGATGTATCCTGCGCATCCGATGTGAGGTCCAAGAGCTCACCCTCTAAGCCAGGGCCCAGCAGAGAAAGAAAAGAAGCCATCGCAGACAAAGCCGAGCCGTGCCGGCGCCCAATCTCAGATCAAGAGAGACTGAGCCACATACCGCATCAGACAGAAATCGAGCTCCATCCAGAACGGCTGCAGGAACAGCTCCATCGGCAGGGCCACGACATACACATTCACTGGCACTGCAAACAGGGCCCAGGCCAGCAGGGGCTGATAGCAAGGAGCGCGCAGTGCATGACCATGTCGCCAAGGGAAGCCTCCGAGCACGACAACATAATTCACCCCGTGCCAAGAAGAGGATCCAGCCCACTGCGTAAGCCGCGCAAGAAGAAGAGGCGCTCCGCGACTTTATCAGGCAAGCCTTCGATGAGTGCTGCAGCTTCAATCACTTCAAAGACACGATTGGCGCCAGACAGGAAGCACACTTCTATATGCACAGCTCCCTAATTAGGCCAAATGGTGCATCGCACCTTCACACCCGGATAGAAAAGCAAAAGGATCTCGCAGCGAACTGCCAAGCAAATCACAAAATTTGCGCCCGAAAAGAAGCAGCTCTCGAGGCGGACGTCACCTGCAGCCTAGGAAGAGTTCGAGTGCCGAGTCAGGTAATCCGCAATGGCATTGGCAAGCGCAGATCGCGCATGTTTGTCCTCCTTGAGCTGCGCCGCAAGAAGGTGCATCACAGAGTAGTGGCACAAGCGCCGTAGGCCATCTCGCATCTCAGCCGACCAAACTCCATGCTGCCCCGTCTGCAAAAGGAGAACAAGATTCTGCCTTTTCATCTCCTGAACCATCGGTCTCGTTGGGTAGAAGCGCACCGTGACAAAATTCCTTGGAATCAAAGAGAGAAGATTCCCAATGATTTCGAGCACCTCAGCCTGACTGAGAGGAGGCCGTGAGTATCAACGACCTGCTGCTGCTTTGAAGCATCCCAGCGCATGAAGTGCCAGACCACAGGCGGGCCAACGGCAAGCCATCCCATAGCTGCCATCGCTGTCGCTCCCATGCACTCCTCATCAAGGACAACCTTCTCCATGCGACTCTTGAGCTCAGCAAAAAGACACACCAGCAAAGCACAACGCATCGGGCGATCCAGCTTCTCAGGCTCCTCCGCCTTCACGCGCCTCCAAGCCCCCGCCGAGGTAAAGAGCATCGGCACCACAGAGGCACATTCAGCTTGAAGTGCACCACGAAGCTGCTTTCAATGCGTCTTCATGCCTGAGAATCGAGGAGACTGCGTACTATAGGTCCCGAATGTCCTTGCGAACAGACCAATCCCCGCCATCCTCACGACGGTCGTCACGCCGATCTTGGCCCTGCCAGCTTGAGCCCCATCCAGAGCGCCCCACGCGCGCATCGCGCCCATTTGCCGACCCGCCACCGCGCCCCGCGCAGCCTGCTCCCGCTGCTGACGTTTGTTTGCCCCCGGCAAGGCCATGCAGCTTTAAGCTGCCGGGCGTGGAACGCCTGTCCTCTGTTGCATCAGACAGGTGCAGCGGCGGTGAATGAATGAATACTACTACTACGACGACTACTTAGTGAGGTCTTTTTTTTGCAGCTGCGTGCCCCGTTTGCGCCACGGAGCTGGATGCTGGATGCTATCGTCAAGTCACATATTGGAAGTGTGCTCTGCGGCGTCGCTTCAGTTCGTGCTATCGTTTTGAGCATGGCGGCAGAGATCGACGGACGAGATAAAACTTTTTAGGGCGGTCTGGCTTGTCCCATGTCGTCTTTCCACAGCCCTCAGTGAGTGCTGCGAAAACTTCACAAACATACCACCTGACCACCACCACGCCCTGGATCACAACTCTGGCCCAGGCACTATGGTCCGTATCAGCCTGCCGTATGCCCGCTTCCCACCACATCAAGCACACGCTACGGCTCCGTGGTCTGGTGGGGACAGGACCATCCTAATCGGCTCTACCCCGCATGACTCCGCGACATCTGGCTCGCAAAGAAGTAAGCTGACAGGAATGGGCTTCACAATCGGCCGCCACAATATGCCGGTGGAAAGGATGGGCTCGTCTATGCAATTGTTTAATGACCCTTTTTCATGTGCCTCGACACTCGCGGCGAGGTGAGCCCTGGTACGCACAACAGTTGCGTGCTGCCTCGAGCAGCCGGTGACAGCATGTCGTTGACTGGTTCCCTGTCGCATCGCCTGGGCTCCCTGGCTGCGGTTCAAACAAACGACAACAACAACTACTGCGACTACTACTACCGCTACTACACTCTACTACCTGCTACCTGTTAACAACCACGACGACGACGACCACTACTACTACCACTACTTCGACTACTAGCTACTAGCCAGTAATGCTAGTAGTACTCGTAGTGCTAATAGTACTAGTACTACTGGCACTATTAGTAGTACTATTGGTGCTAGCATCAGCAGCACTAGTAACATTGGTCGTACCAGTTGTACTGATAGTACTAGTAGTACCGTTAGTACGAGTAGCCAGTAGCACTAGTAGCACTGGTAGCGCTAGTAGCACCGGTAGTGGGCCGCCCCACGCTACCGACCACCTCTTCTAAACACTGGTTAAAGGCACATCCGTTTTAGTCGGTATTCACAGTACTTTCGTCATGCTTGTGGTAGTAGCAATACAGGTTCGCCCTTCGGAGCCTGGGCTTACCTTCTGGTTTTTGGCTCCAGCACCCTCGTTTGCTGCACTTACGTGGTGTTGGTCGCAGCTTCGGCTCTTCTGCGCTGAGGGTTTCATGTATTGGCTTAACTTCCCCATGCTACCAGCTTCTACCAGCCCATCCATTGGCTGTTGCATCCACGCCACAAGGGCGATAACATGCATGCTACCAGCCCTCTTATTGGCCGCTGCATCCATGCCCAGCGATGATACTGTCCCTGCTACCAGTGCAACCATGATGACATCCATGCTACCAGCCCATCGTAATTCGTAATACCTGTAGGCAAGGTTACGCCCTTGATAAAACCTTGTAAAACCCAGAAACAAAAACACTGCAGCCTGGGAACACGTCAGACTGCCCGCAAACCCCACTCCTGAAAGTGGGGGTTTTGGTGTTTGTTTGATTTGCGGTGATTAGAGTTTAGGGTTTGATATGTATCGGCTTTTAGGGTTGCTGAAAAATCCGCGGAATACCCTATAACAGGCTTCTACGGGAGAACACCGGTTCTCGTCACGTTTTATGTTAAAAAGTCAATAAAACCTGGCCAATCGTGCCGCGAAGCTTTTCCTGCTCGAAATCTTTTCATAGTACTCGTACCGTGTCTGACCCGCGGTGCCATGGCGGAACCCCCTGCGTTTGCGGAAGCTTAGAAGACGAAGAAGAGAAGAGTGTGAAAGATTGACGAGTAGTCCAACAATCTATGTCGGCAGACAGCCTACGTCGTGAACCTGCACCATGCTTTCTTTCCATGCAGCGACATCAAGGACACTTGTCGCTTTGCCCATCTCACCTTAACCCTGTGCAGCTTGCTGCATGCGACCGTTTCAAACCTCGCAGTCTGGAAGGATTAAACTGAACCCGAAAAGATGGTGCGAATGTCCTAGTTTAACCACGCACAGGACATAGAATCTGTGAAAGGGGCCGGCATGGTTCTAGGTTCAGGAAGCGCTTGGTGAGGATCATTGAGGTGCGTTGGATGTCAGGCATCTTTTTTGTGTGGTAAAGCTTCAAGAACTCGTAGCAGACTGACATGCTGCATGCGTCCCGCATGCTGAACGAAGAGAACGAATTGGTTATTCAGGAAGCAGAACAACAGACGGCCATCTGCAACGGCGGAGCGGACAATGATAAGCATATCCTAGAAGAGGCTTGGCACGTTGGTGCGGAGCGTTCTGAACCAGACTTGGCAAAAAGCTGACCTGAACTTCCTGTAGGATTGCTTTCGCTTCGACCACCCCAACTGGGACCTGAAGAGCAACGACCGCGCAGCAGATCTGGAATTCGAGATTGAGGCGGAAAGCCTTGATCCCTAGTAAGTGCAGACTTGACATTGATTGACCCGTTTGCATTCTCCACAGTGCAGCCCCAAAGGCCAATCCATGCAACTACCAAGTGCCATCCAGTACCTTTGCGCCTGTAAAGAATTTGAAATAACAAGAAATAACGGCTCTCATGATGGATTCTGACCTGGAGTTGTTTTGGTTGGATGTGCACAACTGCTGGAAAGGCGTAGGGCTGCACCCAGCAAGGCGTTGTAGTCATCCTCTGAGCCTACGCTGCCAGGTCGATTCACTGGTTCATGGCTTTGCGGGCTACTTCGACTGCGCACTGTGCTCATCTGGTGTGTGTTTCTTCATGTTTGTTCTTGGCTAGAGGCTGCAGCCTGTTTGCGGTGCGACAAAAGCAGCATGTCAGAGATGCGCAGGCCAGGAAATTTGGTGTTCGTGCATGTCCATGCAAGGTGCTTTATGGCGCCGAAAGAATATCAATACACCCAAAGACGCTGTCTGCCGACACCTCACTCCGCAGATGTTTGCACGCTTACCTGTACCATCTCACCTTGCACACGGTCCGGATGTCCCGGACGATGCTGCAGGTTGGAATGTTCAGCTGGTTCCCGATGTTCTTTCCGCTTCGTCACCCTGAATATCTTCGCCGCGGTTCTGTAATCAGGAGCATCAGTGCGCACAGGCAACTGCATGAATGCATGCCGACAACTCTTTGGTTTGGCAAGGGGATCTCAGTCGCCCTCAACGAAAACTTGGGCTTTCTGGCTATGTAGAGAGCGCTCGTTAGGAGCCACTGGTGGCGAAGACACGACGCTCACAAGGTACTCGGAGTCTGGGATTGTAGACCGCGGTGGGGTTGATTGCACTTTGTTGCTGGAGGTGTGGTACGAATGGGCGTTGTCGGAACCATCACCAAGCCCCGTACAGCCACCTGGCCAAACAGAGAGTGGTGGCTTCCTTCACCAGCTGAGCCTCACAGCTGCTGCAAACCACAAGAGCAGCACACCGTCAAACCGTATGTTGCTGCGGCAAATGCTCATGGCAAGAAGGAAGGAACTGGTAACAGAGCAGTGTCACAGTTTGGTTCTTGCCGAACCTTTCCAACACAGCAGTCGCAGCCAGGCATCTGACGTCACCGTGAACTTAACCTTTCAATTTTGCGTTTTGACGGTCAACTGGCACCATGCCTTCCCGATCACAAGAAGCAGTGAAGAATGTGGATCCAGCCGGCAACAAGAGCGAGCACTCACGTCGAAGACTAATTTCATCTTGCCTGGGTCGGTGGGTCAGGCCTTCGTTTGCCAGCATGGTGCCTGCAAACATGTCGAACTCAAGGTTCTAAAGACTGAGCACCACCGACAATTATTGCATGATCGCCGTGTTATCATCGCGTAATGAGTTCGCCTTGCCATCACAAGAATCCCGAGAGTGCTTACATTTCGTTGCGCCTGCATATAGGAATCTAGAACATCCGTTCATCCATATTGAGTTGAGCATGACCAACACTCATTTGCAAACTCTGTCGGACGAAGCCAAGAATAGCATTCATGCTGCTCTTGCGTAAGGAATTTGAGCGGAAGGTCATGGCCCATCAGCCTTCTCTGACAGCAGGGACAGCTGTGCCCATCCATTGCTGCCGTGCAAGGCTTGATGTTCTGTATGTGGGAGAGGCTTAGACAGCTTCTCACGCGAACGTGAGGTAAGTCCGTTCAGGCACGAATGAGGAGTAACTGCGAGCGGGCATGTGTTTGATGTTCGGGCGTTCAAGGGCACAGCGACCCACCAACAGCCCATGTCTTGGAAGACGGGGCTCCCCTGGCACTCAAAACCAGACGGGTGCATCGATTGAACAGAAAAGGCACGGACACAGTGACATGGTGAGCTCCACGTGGATGCATACTGTTGGCTCACTTGTAGCCCACGCTGTTGCATGCCCTGTGCATTTTGTGGTGACTCTCGCATCAACGCCGCATTGGCTCGACAAAGCTCAGCACAGTCTGGGCTTGTCACGTGACGGTCTTAGAGCGAGACAGGGGTGCAAATAGCTCCTGTGGCACAAGCGCTGTGGACCAAAACATGCTTTCCACTGAAGGCAATGAAGTTCCATGCAGTCCTGAGACTTTACCTTCTTCTCGTGCGCAGCTTACTTGGATCGAGTGATAGGTTTGCATTGTCGCATTCTGCCACTGATCCAAAGCACATGCTGTTCCGTCCTGCCTGATGTAACGTAGATGTGCCAGGCTCTGAATGGTAACCTTGATCTGCTTGCGACTGACTCGCACGTCAGTTTTCAACTGGCGCAGAGACCCCAAAGCCTGACAGTTGCATAGCCCGAGCAGGTCCGGCCGCGGAACCGATGTTTGCAAACTGTCCTCCCATGCTCGAGCAGTGGTGCCTGATAATCCATCCTAGTAGGCAGGGTCCAGGAACATTACTCTACAGCATGCCACGGCCTTCATCTCACTATAACGGCTCCTCCAAACAGCCAAGCCGTGCTGCCATAGGCTCACAGTCGCAAATGCCAGCAAATCCGCGTCACAGAGCCGGCTTGGAGATGAAAACGGTGTTTACAGGTCTAACCAAACTCCGGGTGACCGTACCTGTACAAACGCAAAGCTCACCGCCTCAAGGTGCGATCCTCTTCAACATACTTGCGATCGCCAAAGGCTTTGCTTCTGTCATGTCAAGAATGTCAGGAAGCAGGCTAATCCGGAACCTTTCGCAGGTAGCAGAAGCACAAGCTCACCACCTGGCGAAGGCAGGTCCCGGTCGACATGCTTTTGAAACTGTCTGTGTTGGGATGCTCGAGTTTGGGAAGATGTGCTCCGGACACAGGATGGCGCCTTCAGCAGCCTTGTCAAGAATCCCGAGCTTGACAAGGCATGTCGACAGCCGCAAAGGTCACATGCATCTCTATTGACACAGCATTCGCCCTAGAATTGTGACATCTGCTTGAATTGTGCGCGGGCAGCATTATCCCGAATCACAAGCTGCACTTACACACTCTGCTGTCAGCCCTTGCACAGTCTCGCTGCTTAGTCAAGTCTATGAGGAGCCTATGTCTATTACTTGTAGTATGTATAATGTCTACAGAATATGATGATATAGGTGACCAACGTCTCGCTGGATGTGGAGCCACCGCCGACGCTGAATTTCTTGTTTATGGCCTTGGATGCTTGCACTGCATCTGCATCGTTGCTTCACTCTGGCCTGTAATATAGCAGGTCAATATTCGACCTGAGGACAAGCTTCCACACAAGACGATCTGGGAGCGCTTCTTCCAGAACAGAGGCACAGGACGCCGGTCACGCAGTCGGCATGCTTTCTGGAATGTGTGGTGCTAACTACCTGACGACATTATAAGGCATAGGGGGCACGGCCGATGTCGTATTTTCCGAGTCTGCAGAAGTGTTCAGCCTTTCGCAAGTGTATGACAATCATGTTTCAAAGCTGACCTTTTCATGTCGACCACTGGCCATGGTCGAATCAGGAGGAGGCGCTTTCCGTGCATTGGTGCACTGCAAGAACGAGAACAGTTGCCAAGATGATCTCAAGCCTGATTCTCAGACAGTTTAGCAGCTGCATCTCTTCTCTTCGATATTCATGACTGAGCGATCGCGCGGGAATGCTTGCACGTCTCGCACACGACGGGACGGGAAGGGCTCGACAGGAAGTCCGTCGCAGCCGTAAGGAGTAGCACATTGCAAGGAGGCTTTAAAGGCCCTCCGGCTTCTTTCCGTGGTACAACGGAATTCAACGAACCCACCGGGCGGGAGATTAACTTTTCCAAGCAATTCCCACGAAGCCGCGAGAATTGCTTCAGCCATGTGTGTCTTGACCATAGGAGAGGGTGAAACACGTATCGGACGAAGCTGCCTTCACCAATCCAGGCGCGTAAGAGATCATAAGTGCATGTCTCGCCAGTCTTGCCAAAGATTGGCCAAGATGGGCCACATACAGGCGTGGACGTTTCAACTGAGCAAGGCGAACTCATGATACCAGTGAAGACACCGAACAGAATGGACATTGTGAAGACGGTTCAAGCAGCAAGGATGAGTAAGATCGGGCGAGGGTGCCTTGGAAAGAGGGCACATGGCAGTACTGCACTTCTTGCAGCATCCTTGCACCCGTACTACTAGCCGCAAGTCAGGAAACTCTGTAGTAAGAGGCACGAGGCTAGCGTTCCTTTCGCTTCCGATGTCGGTTCGATTGCCGCGGTGTCACGACGGTGAGCGAAGAGAGCTTGGTAATCCATAAGGGGCACATAAAGTTTTGCCTCGGCAGCGACAGAAACCCATGCTTCAGAGCCGTCGCCATGCGGGCGGGCACTCGGGCGTCCCTGACGCATGGGATTCAGCGAACAGGGTTAAGGCTCCAATATTGGAGTTCTGCCACCGACCGGTCCCCGAGGCTCGCCGAGCCGAAGAACCTCCCCCGCTCGTGAGGAGAGCGACCCGCCGGACCCGTCTCCCAAGGCCCACGAGCCACATGAAGGGCACGAAAGGAACCTATAGGCCGGCAGGTGTAAACCCCTGCGCTGGGCAGAGAACGGTTTCGGGTCCTTCTGTGAGTCAATTGAAAGCGAGGGTGCTCGTAGGCATCGAATCCAAGAGCTGCTTACCTTGTACACGCCAGTAAGGAAGTCGAATGTCGGAAGAGCGCACTATATTAACAGAAAAAGTCAGAAGCTGAGTGCGTAGAAGTGTTCAGTATGAGACTTTGCATCAATCGCACAAAGCCTGAAAACCTCTCCCTGCTTTCCGAAATTGCGGGCAATTACGACTCCCACTTCAAGATTCAGCAACAGAGATGCCCAAAGCCCTGCCATATGTCATTGTATATACGTCACCTGTCGTAGCGAGCTAGTTAGATTTTGTGTAGAGAGCAGGAGCGATTGTAATTTCGATAAGCGCAGCGCCCTGTGAGTGTGGTCACTCCCTATCTGGATATGTTGTCGGCCATGAGCATCGGCACAGCCGAACTTCACGCCAGTCGCTTTGGAATTCCAACAGTCAAACAGAATGTCGGGTCATTGCACCGACCGCATGAAAAGTAGGCCACGTTTGTGGAAGTGGCACTCAGGTTCCTGGATGTGTCGAGCAAGTTTCGCTGTCGTCACTCCTTCAAGCACGTAGTACAGCCGGGTTTCAGATCATACACCGGTGCGTCGGATGGTTCACTCGATATTTACTAAGCACACCTTTCACCAAAAGTCGGAAGAGCAGTTGGTTGCATAAAGAATGGAGTACAAGCTCGGAAGGCCTCATGGCGATTGCAAAAGTAAGCGCAAATTGCTTACATGTTCATGAATAGCGAATGGAAACATCAGATCACGAACGTCTCCACACGTTATGTCCATACGGTGGAAACGGATCATAGGCTCATGATCGCCAACGTTAACTTTAAATTCAAGTTAAAGGTTCAATACAAAAAGAATGCCAAACCCTCCTCAATTTCGATCCCCTTCACCACAGAACTAGTCACACTCAATGATCAGATTAGAAATCATCACAGCATGTTCCGAAGCTTTGCTGAAGAAGCAGCCCGAACAGCAAAGACCATATGTATCATACACCCCAACAAACATGGACATTGCTTGAACGTAAATGAGAGGCAACTTGAATAAAGCCATGACGATATGGCTGATCAGCTAAGTCAAGAAATCAAACAAAGGTCAAGAAAGACAGGGAAGCGCATTATGAAACGAGTTGGAAGATATTGCAAACCAAGGTAACAAGTTGGATGGACTCACACAGAAACGCAAACTTCACGAAGTTTGAAGACATAAACGGTAAGCATGTTGTCCCATCATACAATATGCACATAAAGTTGCCGAGTGCGTGGAAAAGGTCCTGTGGAAGGCACCAGATAATTTTTGTGGACTTGGACTATGTACTTTGCAGGGTCCGAAGGGACAAAATGGTAGCATTCCATTCTCGGAAAAATGTGCACGTGGCTGGATAACGACAACAAGAAACTCTTACTTCATGCAGCAAATGTATGTCGCAGACAGGGTAACATGGATCCCTGTAATCTAAATGTGGTGGTTGTCTCAATCTACAAGAAGGTTCAAGAAAGGGGATGCATCAAAGCTTGAAATTGTGGACCAAGATCATTACTCACGGCATTCTATAAAATAGCAGCAGCCTTATCAAAAGAGCGTCTTGATACGGGTCTAGACAAGTTGGATCATGGCAACTCAACATGGGTTTGGAATAAGCAGGAGCACAAGTCACTCAATCGTGCAGCCAGAAGGTTGCAAGAAATTGCAGAAAAAACAAAAGTCAAAAAGCCACTGTATCTTGATACTTTTCCATTAGAAAAGAGCGTTTCGCAAAACTGCACGACAAGTGCTCGAAACACTGAGACTGCTAAAAGCCCCCCCCCCCCCCCCCCCCCCCCGAAAATCTATAACTTGATAAGAAGCTTTCATTCGAACCCTCAGTTCCAAGTGAAGTGCGGAGAAATGGAATCGGAATGCCATACTCAGTATGCAGGGATTCGTCAAGGATGCCCTGAATCTCCACTCCATACTTTTTACATTAGTGATGGGAGAACTCTTTAGAGCCAACATTCAACGCAGCAATCGACTGTTGCACACTATGCAATGAACAAACTCAGAGATTCCAAACTTCATGGTTTCCAAAGCAAGATGCTTCGCAAGAATCTTGGCAAGCCATCAAACATTCGCAGACAGAGAAGAGACATACTCAATACTGTATGAAGAAATCCTACGTGATCATCATTGCAAGTTCGAGCACTTCGGAGACACATGGAAAAGAACCAAATTGGGGGCTCTTTGGCCATATTCTTCGGTCCAGCCCGGCAGATCCACTCAATCAACTAGTATTTGCACCGGGTCCGCTAGTGCCCTGGCAGATCCCGAACCGACTGGCTTACTGAAACTTAGATACGTATCAGTTCTTTTCTGGGCCCCATGCAGTTTTCGACGTAGAAAAACCGCAGTCATTTACAGGAGCAAATTCTACCACAGGGCCTTGAATAATATTTGCTTTGGTTGGGAGCCCAGTCGCGCTCATGAGTGTATCTGAATGGTCTGGAGGTTTTTGCGACTTAACGAGCAGCTTCGTCCTGATTGAAACAGACCGAAACCGAGCGAGAAAACCGAAGTGGCTGGCTCAAAGCCAGTCGAGGCAGTCAACAAAGAAGCTGTGCCCCCTGAATGCCTTAAGTTTTGAGGCACAAGTTTGCTTGTCGTGTTTCACCTCGCTGCTTACTCTGGCATGCCTGAGGGAACATCCGGTCTTCAGCTTGATTGAAACGGTTGAGACAGAGTATTGCTTCGGTGCGCGGCTTGGCCAGTGGCACTTGCCGTGACATGTGTCCAGCTTGACAAATTCAGGCCTTGTCGCTGCCATGAACAAGCTTTTGCAAGCTGCAATAGACGCAGGGACAGGGCAGCGTCGCAGCCTCAGATGTCCTGCGCACTTAAGTATGGCGAGTCCCACCCGATCTGTCAAGCGCAGGTAACGACAAGTTCGTTTTTGTGTCCGAAACGACGCTGCCCGTCTTTGCCTGAGTGACGCACGACGCACAACTCAGCGGCAGCTCAGATCCTGCCATGCTCAGGTAAAGCCTTTTCAATTCGTATACCGGCATTTGACTGCCGACGACGGGACCTCAGTGTGACGAGTAGTTTCAGGATCGCCTGCCCGGGCTAAAGTCAACACTTCGAGCTGGCAACAGGCATGGCTCTGCAAAAGGCTGCCTGCTACGTGCAAGTGCTGTAGCTCCCACGCACTCCCCACCTGTTGCCTACTGTCATTCGGCACTGAACCGGCACAGGTATTTCTCGTGTCGCTCTTTTGATATTATACCTCCTTTTTGGGCAGGGCCCGGAACACGTTTTTAGGTCCATTCTAAACTTTGGAAACGCTGCACCATTGGCGGCCACCAGAGCATGAGTTTCCACAATAATCGTGGCCTCCAACGCATGAGTTTCCACATTAGTCGTGGCCTCCAACGCATGAGTTTCCACAATAATCGTGGCCTCCAACGCATGAGTTTCCACATTAGTCGTGGCCTCCAACGCATGAGTTTCCACATTATTCGTGGCCTCCAACGCATGAGTTTCCACATTATTCGTGGCCTCAAAAGCATGAGTTCCCACATATTCGCGACTTCAAAAACATGAGTTTTGGGGAACTCGGGCGGGTTATGCGGAAACTTCTGTGGAAACTCGGGCGGGTTATGCGGAAACTTCTGTGGAAACTCGGGCGGGTTATGCGGAAACTTTTGTGGAAACTCGGAAGGGTTTTGCGGAAACTTTTGTGGAAACTCGGAAGGGTTTTGCGGAAACTTTTGTGGAAACTCGGGCGGGTTATGTGGAAACTTTTGTGGAAACTCGGAAGGGTTTTGCGGAAACTTTTGTGGAAACTCGGAAGGGTTTTGCGGAAACTTTTGTGGAAACTCGGGCGGGTTATGTGGAAACTTTTGTGGAAACTCCGGCGGGTTATGCGGAAACTTTTGTGGAACCTGGGGCGGGTTATGTGGAAACTTTTGTGGAAACTCGAGCAGGATATGTGGAAACTTTCGTGGAAACTCCGTGTTTTGTCATCCTGAAACGTGTGCATTCTAAAGTATTAAGGGTTTCCGCCCGAGCTTCCACACAAGTTTCCACATAACCTGCCCGAGTTTCCACAAAAGTTTCCGCATAACCCGCCCGAGTTTCCACAAAAGTGTCCGCACCACCCGCCCGCTTACGTGGAAACTCAGGCCCGTTTATGTGGAAACTCAGTCCCGTTTATGTGGAAACTCAGGCCCGTTTATGTGGAAACTCAGGCCCGTTTATGTGGAAGCTCAGGCCCGTTTATGTGAAATCTCAGGCCCGTTTATGTGGAAACCCAGGCCCGTTTGTGTGGATTTCAGGCCCGTTTATGTGGAAACTCAGGCCCGTCTATGTGGAAACTCAGGCCCGTCTATGTGGAAACTCAGGTCCGTTTATGTGGAAACTCAGGCCCGTTTATGTGGAAACTCGGGCCCGTTCTGGGTTTGAAATCGCCTTTTTAAGCCCCCAAATATGGAGTTTAATAAACGTGTTGAGGGCCCACCCCAACCTCCTTTCATAAAAAAAAAACCTCTTCAAATACCGAGCTTGAAATTGTGAGCATTGCTTTCGGGGCGCATCTGGCCCGGGATGCACAAGAATTACTTAGCATGCTTCGAGTCTGTCGCTCTTTCAGAGTTTAGAAATTAGCACAACATGGAAACCCTACGACTTCAAGAGCTAGTGTGTACTAGAACGTGTGAATTGAGTTCCTTGCCCTCTCCGTCCGTCGGAGCTAAGGGTTCGCTGCAGAAAAACCTACGATTACAAGAGCGAGTGTGCACTAGAATGTGTTAGTTGAGATCCTTTCTCAAGCGCACCCCCTCTCTCAAAAGCTCTCTCAAAACTGCAACACGGGCCGCAGTAATGTCGGACTGAAGGCAATGCAGGAACGTAGCGTAAGGTGCAGGGGACCGCAGAAGGACTGCAGGCTGCAGCAACCGCAAGAACATAGGAGAGCAGAGGACTGCAAGCCTGCGGCCTGCCAACTGTTTAGCTGCTCAACGAAGGGTTTCTCAGTAAAGCGTTGAGGAATGGGAAGGTTAAAGCAGCGAACCCCCCAATGTTCATTCACAGAAACATATACTCGGGGGGTTGCGAGCTTCTCAGTAGGGGGAGGGATTAAACAAACTAAAGGAACATGCTGAAGTTAACGTTGGTTTCCCTATGCGGATAGAGATGGGTTACATGCATGTCTACGGTCGCGGAGTGGGGTAGGGCTTCCCGGCACTCCATCACACATGTGGCCATTTCCATCATGTTGTGACTTCCGGCCCACCTCAATTGACTTCTGAGCAAATGTTGGAGTGGAGCTCCGTGCTGGAGCACAGAAGCATGGGAGATGGGGAAGGGCGACAGTAGAAGCGAGCCGATGAGCCAAGGACGACTCCCATTTCTGTTTCTTCCCCGTGCCTGTCGCTTACCGCGGTGAACCGCCTCGAATGTGAAGTATTCTGAAGAAATCCGTGAAATGGCCTAAGACATTGGCTGCGGTGGAGCGAAGATGACTCGGCCGGAAACATCTTCGCCGGTTTCACAAGCTGGCCATGACCTCAGCGTCGCGACATGAGCAGAGGACACGCTTGGCGTTTCAGGCTTTGGGGCTCAGGAGCTGCTTGAGGCTACAAAGCTTTGAGAAACCGGCTGCTGATGTCAAAATCGCAAAGCATTCAAAGCTCAAAGCTTCCTTTTCGCAGCAAGGCACCTGTAAATCTTCATCTGAAAACAATCCAGTGATGGGTTTTCTTCAGCCCACGAAGACGAAACAGAATCAGTATACCCTCTAGCTTCCATCGTTTGCTTGTGATCCTTCCACCCGTGCATCGTTCAAACAGTTCTGCGCATTGTCCGCCCCTTAGAAAGCAATCCTCCGCACAAAATCACCTCGTAATGCTTCCGAAAGACCCTACCCGAATGTACTACAAACCCGTTCATTTCTCCATCAATTCTCCCGCCGTTACATATCCAGTCGTTGCGGACAAAGGCTTGCAGCAATCGAAGACGACCTGCGCAAGTCTGAGATTTATGACATGCAGCTTTGGGCAGAGAACGGCGTATCTCTCTCTCACTCTCTCACTCACTCACTCACTCACTCACTCACTCACTCTCTCTCTCACTCTCTCTCTCTCTCTCTCTCTTCCTCCCTCTCTCTCTCTCTCTCTCTCTTCCTCTCTCTCTCTCTCTCTCTTCCTCTCTCCTCTCTCTCTCTCTCTCTCTCTCTCTCTCTCTCTCTCTCTCTCTCTCTCTCTCTCTCTCTCTCTCTCTCTCTCTTCATGTGTAAACGACATGGCCCTTGCGGTTTGAGGTTTCCCGTCGAGCACAGGGGAACAGAGCGGCTGGCTCCAAAGCACCATCAGCATATAGACGGCATTAGATTCTAGTGAGGACCGAGATTCTCACACCTAGGCACAGTAGCAGACTCGTGCCCTGCAGAGGTGGATGGTCTTGAGCCGGAGACACGTCGGTGGCTTACGAAGGTCAGCATGCAGGATCGTCTTGAACTCTCGTGAATCTTGTGCCGCCAGTTCGAGTGGACAACCATCGGATTGCACAGACTGAGGCGTTGCTTGCGATTCGAAGGGCCAGGGCCCTTAGCCTGGCAAGCATGGCTGTACACCTTGCATAATTGCTCATGAGTTAAGGCACTGATGTTCCCTCAACTGTTGTCCGACTTGGGGGTGAACCATCCAGGCCGTGGAAAGGGTTGTCAGTGTTTCTGTAGGCTTGAGGGCTTTCGCTTCCGTCACTTACTGTCGTTCGAGCGAGGGTCGACGCAGCAGCTGCAACCACAGTAGCGGTTCTCGCCCTTCATTGCCGCCTTATCGCCAAATTCCCGCAAGGGAAAGCTTCCGGATGCAGTGATGAGTTTTGGCACTTCAACACGTTGTACGACGGTGTCAACGTGAGCAGCTCAGTTTCCTTCAAGGCACCAGGTGGACCGTCAAAGGCCTTCGAAGCTGAGGTTACTGATCTTACAGCAGCATCGCTTGTGCACTTAGATGGCCACAACCTCGTTTCCAGCCTACGCCTTGTGCTGATGCATCGTGCCCTTTGAAAACTTTGCCAACGTAAGGCATCGCCAACGGAGACCTCCGGTATGATGCCCACGAGCCACAGGGACAATGCGAAACTCGAAGCATGTGAGACTTAAGTATTTGCTAGCGTCTTAGACGTTGTCCACCTTTTCAGCATCTGAGTCGCAATGTGGCACGGCAAAATGAGAGGAAGGTACCTGTAATACACCTGCATTTACAAATCCAACAAAGGGTACTATCAAGCATGCAATTGGTTGACTTCGAGTCTAAGGACACATTCGTGTACTGGCAGTCCAAGGACATCGGTTTTTGAAGACAACGATCGGACCTGCGAGCTGTTCAGCTGCAGGATGATGGCGCAGCTGGCCCTGCAAAGAGCTTGGGGCGGAGGCTTGAGGCAGCGCAGCAGAAACCCCCGGGTGCTTAAGAAATACATGTGGTCTTAAACCAGCAGAACCAGCTTGGTGCGAGGCGGATGCCTTTACCCACCTGTCCCACAAGGCCGGGTGTTTCGTGGTGGTATCAGTTTTGTATCGGTGGTTGTGTGTGAGCTTGTGTGTGTGTGTGTGTGAGTGTGTGACCCTGTGTGTGTGTGTGTGACTCTGTGTGTTTGTGTGTGTCTCTGTCTGTGTGTGTGCGTACACCCCGATTCTATTCTAAGGGTTGTTGGACGACGACTGCTTGCGAGTGTTGTAGCAGCAGCAGGGGGCTGGAGCTGATTTGCCTATCCCATCCACCGAAGCTTTGGCAAATCAGCGGAAGCACTTGGGGACGCTCAAATGTGTACCTGCGATGTACAAAGTGCAGCCGATTTCATCTTTGACAGCATGCATCCTATCAGGCCACTATGCGTTCGAGCATTAGGGTATTCCGCCTCCCCTTCGATAGTGACCGAGGGTCAAACCGTGGCGGAAGCCGACAGAGAACTCACCAACCATCTCAGTTGTGTCGGCCCTGTTGCCAGTAGACACCTAGCCCGGGTTGGGCAGTGTCAGTTTCCAGATGAAGCTGGGAATACCCATGTGACCTGTGCGGCCAGACCGCGTCGAGCTTACCATAGCACCAAGAAGTGGCCTCGTCTCTCTCTCTCTCTCTCTCTCTCTCTCTCTCTTTAGGTAGCGGCCGAAGAGCTTACCATAGCAAACTGGATAGGAGTGGGACTTGTGGTCCAGGTCGGGGTGATGCCCAGTCTATATTTGGCCCTACGCAGCCTTGAGTGACCGAGAGTTTGATAGTGCACGGGAGTAAAGACTCCCCTCTCTCGCAACATGGCCCGCAGTGAATCTGGATCTGATCCGGCAGGCGTTGACATCACTAACACAGGTGTCCATGACTCTCCCTTTCAGCCAGCTTTCACTGATGACGAGGATGTTTCGGTACAATCTGACTTTGCGGCAGGTATGGACATTTCCCATCAGGGGCCACTGTCGAACGACATTGAGGCTTTGCTAGCCTCACAACGTCGTGTCTCGAGCGCTGATTCGTCTAGCCAGTCAGATGCGGAGGTCCCAGAACCCACACCTCCAATTGCAAGCGCCGACGTCAACTTCACTCCTCCGGGCATTGCGTATGAGGCCAGAGCTGCAAGGCCTGAGGCAAGGACGGAGAGCCGTCCAAAGAAGACGGCCACGAATGCAACCCGGGCTCGTGGCTCAGTGGGTCGACAAGCTCGAGGTGATCAGGCGCCGGCTCCCACCACCGCAGCTCCTCCGAAGAAGACCTACTGAAGTCGTGTCTCCCAGCTCGTCAGGTCACCACGTTCCCTCGAACTCTCCAGATCCCTCGAGCCCTATGGCATCGCAGCTTCGCAGGTCAGACCAAGCAGAGTACGCAGCCTAAAGCCCCGACATCCTCGCAGGTTCCGCCGTCCGCCGTCTCAGCAGGTGAAAACTCAGACTCCTCCTGCAGAGTCACCGCCGTTCGCATGGGATTCGAGACTCATGCATAGCTCTCAACATTTGGAGACCGAGCATGGCATCGAGAAGGATGCCATCGGATGTGCTATGTCGGTGAAGCTGGTCAGTTGGTCGGGACCCCTGAAGATTACCTCGTTCCCGGCAGACGTAGTGCAACGAAACGCTCCGATTTTGCATGACCTTTACAAGGCTGCTGGGATTCATGTCCCACCGCAGATGGAATGGATGTTTCTTGCAAATCTTGTCCAGCAGTACACAAGTCCTGTTCAGGAACTCTTTGATCATGTCACTTTCTCTGAGTCCAAGCAGCAGGTGTAGTACTGGAAGCATCATCGGCAGAAGTTCTTTACTACCAAGCCTGCAGATCCGACCGTACATCTTTACACACGGGTCACAAACTCAGGTGGAGCCGAGGGCATTGTGAATTCCAGGTACCTCGCTCCTGCAACCATCGCAGATGGACCAGGTGCTGTGGGACATTACAGCCAAGCCACCAATTGGACTGATGACGAAAGCAACTCCAGGTACTGGATCGGCTGGTTGCGTCAGGTAAGTGGCACTGTCCTACGATCTTCCAAGGCATGGTTTCCAACCCGAGCAGCCATTGTGCTTGAGTCAGGCGGGGGACAGGATGCACAGCAAGCCTGCATGATCCACGCAGCAGTGCATGTCAAACACGACAACAAGTGGCTCCTTCACTCTGACTTGACCACAGTTTCCAGCATCGTCTTGGCAGTCAGGAAACAGTTTCAGCCACTCCACGATCAGCTTGGTCGCCCAGTGATTCATCTATGCCCCACACACGCACAACAAGGTCAAGAAGCGCCTGGGGTGAAGGATTACCATCGCCCTTCTTTTTCTCCGAATTATCTCAGGATATGCAGGTTGTCACAGGTTTCTCCTGCGACCTGATCGATCAGAGCCGCCTTGATTTTGCTGCTGCTAAAATCAGACAGCTGCCTTGAAGGATGTTGAAATGTTGACATGAGGAACATGGAGTTGATGCTGTAGCTTTTAAGCTGTTGAGTCTGCGAGCTTGGTAGCTGTGTCGCTTCATGTCGCGTCGTGGCCATAGACAAGGTTCTCGCTCCAGAAGCATGGGACGAGGCCGCCCACAGCGACATCGAAGCAGGTCTCGACTTCCTCGCGTCAGGGAGCAGCCGGATTGCCCTACGTCATGACTTTGGTTCCAAAGTCATGGCGTAGCACCAGCTCGGAGCATGATGAGAATATTGGTTGAATTTGCCTCGCAAGGTTCTTTCCAATCGTTTTACCAGGGATCTGAACATTGACGGCATGGACATCATGGATGTGAAGATGTTTTAGGTGATGATGATGTCACCAACTCAGGATTGAGATCCCTGGCCAACGGCAGACACACCATGTTCGAGTCGTTGAAATCCCGTCAGGAAGCTATAATGGCAGGGACCTTGATGCGAGCCTTGAGAGGTGATTCTGCCAGCACGTCAGGAGCCGATCTCAATGCTACGCTCGCTCACGTGGTGAAGAACAAGTTTCCTGGTCAGGATCCATACATCTGGGACAACAGGCATACAGCCAACAAGGAGCTCGCTGACCATTTAGCCAAGATTGTTCAACAGCAAGGACCAGCAGCCGCAAATCAGTCCATGCTTGATCAGATTCGACAGTCGCAGCGAGAGAACGCGAGATTGAAGAGTTCCGGGTCGGGTAGAAAGAAAGCACCAGCACCAGCCACACCCAGACAGCCACCAGCAGGTGCCAAAGACAACAAAGACGTCATGGTGATCCTCGGGCGGGCCGCGACCGACATCGACTTCGCCTGCCACGAGGCTGCTGAGAGGCTACTTGACCTTGTTTCTTGGTAGGTAGTGCCGTCGCCTTGTGGGAGGTGGGTGCGCCCGGCGGACGCAGAAGTGCGCACCCCGGCACCGGCACCGGTTTTCGGGGCGGTGTGCTCGGCCGGGCGCATTCTATGCGACTCGACCATCCAAAAAGAGCCACTGCACCCTATAGTAGGATTTTGGGCTAACACGTCGTTAGCGCAGCTCTTGTTGTGTAGCGCACGTGTGCGAGTAGGAACAAGCGTCAGCGATCGACCGCAGCTTGCCGGTTCGATCGCCTCTTTTGATTTCCCGCCCACTCCACCCTGGAGGTTTAACCTGTGACTTATATACGGCCGTCACCCGCCCCACCGGGCGGTTGCCTGCGGGTGGACGCAGAAGTGCGCACCCCGGCACCGGCACCGGTTTTCGGGGCGGAGTGCTCGGCCGGACGCATTCTATGCGACTCGACCATCCAAAAAGAGCCACTGCACCCTAGTAGGATTTTGGGCTAACACGTCGTTAGCGCAGCGCTTGTTTGCCTCTGTCTCTGTGTGTGTGTGTGTGTGTGTTTCCGTGTCTCTGTGTCTCCGTGTCTGAGTGTCTTTGTGTGTATATGTGTGTGGGGGTGCGTGGACGAGTGCGACTGTAGGCGGGCCACCCTTGCGAGATCACTGGGCTGGGTGAGAGCAGCATCCGTGCCTCGTACTTCTGTGAGAGCAGCTGCTCATTTGGATGCTATGTTCTTCGTTGACGCTGCCAAGACTGCTAGGTGCTTTGCGAGAGTCTCCCTTCCTCTTTGCTCGGAAGGCATTGCATTTCTTGACATGGGAGTTTGCATCACTTGAGGTCGAGAGTGTCACATGCCAAGTGTCGACAGTCGCGTCTCCAATTCCAGACCTCGGAGTGGATTCTTACAGAGGTGGCATGACCACAAAAGCAAAGTTGAAGCCTTCTCACGAAAAAGCGGCTTGAGTCCAGATTGAAGTACCTGCTCGTGCTGCATAACGCCTAGAATTCACATTAGACACCTTTTCAATGCAATTTAGCTGATACCCGAGTACCCTCTGAGATGTGCTTCGACTGACTTGATTGAATTTGCTACCCTTTGACAGAGTGCCTGCCGGAGGGGCAACAAAATAAAACTTGGAAACATGTAAGTCTGTCATGGCTCGTGGCGGAGGAATGCGGAGGAGGCAGATAGGTAGCATGGAACGGAAAGACGAAGAAGAGACTGCTCGCATGTTCTGCTTCCTCGAAACCTGGGCGATCGTTGCTCGTCAACACTCCCGATGCAGCTGATTTTTACGGTGGCACCATAGTGTCACGTGAGTCATGCCCCTGCAGATCATGCCTGGCACTCGAGATACTCGAGCCGTGGTGCCTGGATCGTGACCCAGCTGAACTCAGCGCAGCAGCGACGGCAGACACTTCCAAATCTGCACGAGGCTGGCCCTGACGGCGACTGAGAGCTTGGAGGAAGCATTTGACAGGCTGGTGTTCACACCCTAGCGCGATCAAAAGCGTGCTGCCGTCAATTGGAAGCAGCTAAAGCTGACCTCAGACAGCACCGAGTCGCATTCCTACATTCGTGTATGCATAATGGTATGTGCTCCGAAGAGATTGTCTGGGACCGATGCAGGTAATGCTCAGATGAACTATAATTGACCATAATGGTTTCACAGACTGCCCACCATGTGCTTGGATGGTCGGCGCTATGAAAATCGTTTGACCCCCAGACCGTGCATTGGCAATGCATTCGCTAACGGCGTGAGACGACATAGTGCGGAGAGCTAGTGACGAAAGCAGCATGCGTAGATATTTCGAGTGAATGTTCTCAATACCTTTTGCTGGCTGCTGGTCATGTGTTCCACCCATTTGCTGAAGCTCCCTTGAGTCCCATGCTGCGTTTCCCGCAAGTCTTCCAGTAATTTTTCTCTAGTGCCCGGGTAATTGCTCGCGATTCTGCTGCCGATTTGCTGGGTGTTTCTCTCCAAGCTTCTGGTGAGTATTGCTATGATGGTTGCGACTTTGCGCCCAGTTCCCGAACGCAGATCCGACCCACCAAAGCCTTCTGGAATCCTCGAGGACCGAACCAATTGACCAAGATATTCAACCCAAATCCTAAGTTTATTAGTCTCGGCAGCCATGCAGCGGGCACTGCTTAAGGACCTGTCCTTGCGGGATTGCCGCTGTTTTCTGACTGACAGGATTGAGTGAACCATCGTTCAAATTCGAGAGCGTAAGGATGTGGGGGCAAACACCCTTATAGTGAGGTTCACAGCAGGAAACTTTTCTTGAAATCTGTCTTCTCAACTCCCCGTACTCTGCGAACAGCTCACCTTTTGGTACTGGTTGGTGCTTTCCACGGCATCGTAGAGGAAGATCGGAGGGCAGACAAATCTTGCCAGCCTACTAGTGGACAACTACCAGTAACTAGAAGACAGTCTGCACATGTCTGCCTTCGCGACACCATCCAGGCAGAGGCGCAGAGATCCCTAAGTGACATCCCGCTTGTGCTGGGCCCAGAGGCCTCGGGCCACTGGAGCGGCCTTTGGGAGAAGTAGCTCCATGACTCCATGGCATTCTTCTCTAGAGTAACCCCAGAGCAAGCAGCAGAAAGAGCCATTTTCAGCAAGCTACTTATCTCAGCAATGCTCCAAATTGCGGTTCAACCACGACGAAGATGATCGTAGACTTAGGCATGTTGCGAACCCTTGTGGGCACATCCTCGAGCGAAGCCATGGTTGCCAAGGGAGCACCGTTC